ACGCGTAAACCACTACACTACCGGCACCCTTAAAGTTCTCCAAATGTAATCGAAGAACCAGATATTACACGGTAGACTTAGACATCCTATATTTTTATATCCTATGAAAAAACAGTGAAAGATTGATGCCCAAAAGGACTGGTCATATTTTCCATTGTTAGCATGCGCTCGGGTGGGGGTCAAATCGACTCCCGGAAGGTTTTTCCACAATTATTTCTGAGCAGCGCAGAGTAGCCGCGCCAAACTCTACATAGTTGTAGAGAATTAAAAAATCGAATTCTGTATGTGAAACAATTATATTTCCCTTGTCAAGTCGTTGACCTATGCCAGGTCAAAGTCAAGTAATGGCTGTAAAGGGCGTTTCTGATGAATCATTCAATGTGATGCAACAACGGAGAGTTGTATGAAGCCATACATATCTGAGATAGTTTCTCAGGCAATAAACTATTTGAATTTACGATTTCATTCAATCCCATTGACCTAGGGCCAGGTATAAAGGCCAGAACGAGGTCAAATCTAGCCTGTTTTTTTTTTACCTGAGAGCTTGGTTTTATGGGATAGTTTGTGGTCCTCATTTCGAATTTATTTCAGAAAGAAATCACAGAATATATGTTCTTCAAGCTTTTTAAAGATCAGAATGGGCCACTGACCTAAAGCGACCCAGATCAACGTTGTGTTTTTAGGAACATGCGTTTTAGCGCAACCCCTGACGCTTATTCGAAAGGCAAACTAGGAGCAATCTCGTAGGTGTTCAGTCACTTTGACGTCGTAAAGGTAAAAAACGCCACTGACCTCATTGATCTTTTGCTTAGTACAAGTGTCTAGCTTTACGGCGGTTGCATAAGGTGTTCTGGGGTAGAGCGCTTGAGACACCAATGTGGAATTTGACCTTGTTTAACCTTACTTCACACCAGTCATCACCTACGAACCTCAAATTTGACAAGTGGGTTCACGCACAGGTCAATCTACCCCGTGAACTTGGTGTTTCTTGCTATTTCAGTTTTCGGAAAGACAAAATTAGTCTAAGGAAGGGGGGGGGGGTCAAATTGCATCCCCCTCCCCGAGCGAAGGAAATTTAGTGGGCCACCCGGGAGCGTGTTACATTATCCTGACGGAAGCAAGTCGGCGCCTACGTGAGCCTATCTCTAGTTCAGCTGTCGAATTCAGTTCATTTCCTTATTGATCGCAGACGAGGGTCGAGTGAAGTGGATTTTGACTGGACTTGTTTGTAAGAAATGCAATCGTAATTCGCAATACTTATTACTCGAGTAAAGTAGTTAATAGCATGTCTGTAACTTATGCTACTTAATCGCTATGCAAGACCTGCAATCCGATGTTGAGTACTGTACTTGAGACCCTATCGCCGACGGCACGGCTATTACTGGCCGGTTACCTCCGTGTGAATGAACTTACTGACACTTGGCACGTGCAGACGGCCAACTGTCAGGTTTAGTGCAGTCTAGTCAACATTGCATGCTATATATGGATCGTAGGTGCCAGGTAGAATGTCCTAGCCCAAAGCTGAGACTTGAGAGCGCTGCTGATAACAGGTTTACAACACGTATATAGGCAGGTATAATATATATAAATATATATTATATATATAAGGCACTGTTGATACACTGGACTTGCTTGACCCGAACTACAGATTTGCTACCAGCTATTGCATCAATTTGCCGCACTATAGTACATACATGCATATATAATATATATATATATATATATAATATTATATATCTTATATATATATATATCTATGGATTTTGGATATATGCTTTGGATAGTTATTTGAATATACTGGATACCTCTTATGATACTATATATCATATATATGATATATATATATATATTATATATATTATCTATATATATATATATATATCTCTCTCTCTCGTCTCCTCTCTCTCTCTCGCTCTCTCTCTCTCTCTCTCTCTCTCTCTCTCTCTCCTCTCTCTCTCTCTCTCTCTCTACTCTCTCTCTCTCTCTCTCTCTCTCTCTCTCTCTATCTATCTCGCTCTCTCTTCTCATCTCTCTCTCTCTCTCTTTCTCTCTCATCTTATACTATCTCTCCTCTCTCTCCTCGCTCTCTCTCTCAGCTCTACTATTTCTCCTCCTCTCTCTCCTCCTCTCTCTCTCCTCTCTCTCATCTCTTCTCTCTCTCTCTCTACTCTGCTCTCTCTCTCTCTGCTCTCTCTCTCTCTTCTCTCTCTCTCCTCTCCCCTCTCTCTCTCTCTCTCTCTCTCTCTCTCTCTGCTCTATCTCTCTCCTCAATGAGTCATATGGCATACGAGTCATAAGGCAACACACCGAGAACTGAATTGTGCAAAGCGAGATTGTGCAAAGCGACCGTACCTCATCGAGGGACTGACACGATTCAATGACATGGAAAAGTGTCAGGGGAGCATCCCAGTGAGAAACAATTGGCTGTCTCGCCACGCGGCAAGTAACAGTGTGCTTCGTGCGTATGCTCGACGCGGAGCTTCAGCCAGTAGCTCCAGATTTTATACACGCGCAGCCGAAGCCACAGTCAGCAGTTTCGAACTTAGGACACAGAAAGCCAGAGCCGAACCTGCCAGCTTAAAATCACGGCACAGAAACCGAATTCGATCCCAACATACAACGTTGTTTTGCAAACCAAAGCCATTCTCGCGTCTGCTTACGTCGCATAAGATCAGAAAACATCGTGTTTCCTTTCGCAGAGTGATTGAGGCGAGATGCTAGATATCGGATGGAAGATGTTCCGAACTCTTGTCTTAGTCTGGTGTGTTAGGATCCTCGAAACGTTTTGGCACCTTGCACAATGCACTTGTGAGTAGCACCAATGAGTGTGTAATATATCTTTTACTTCAGACGACTTGACATCAATGGTAGATAACTGCTGAATGCTAACTCTAGCTGGTGTTCACAAAGGGGCCAATGAGCGGGTGGGAACTGGACTCTGGGGAACCCGAGTCTGGTGTTTGTGATGAACAGAGGGTAACCATGAACCCTGGTGGAAGCCAGCCGTCTGATAGTCTCAGCGCGTCTTGTGCATGCTTCGGTCGTGATGGCGCGAAGGCTGGCTGCCGCAGCGAGGCGCGAGGGCCGGCTGCCGCCGCGAGCGTTTACCGGGTGAGCGCGGGCAGGCCCCGGTAAGAATCCCCAGAAACGAGAGATGGGGAAGCCCGCTGGATCTGCGGCATTACTCCAAGGGCGACATCCCCGTTCATACCATAGCGTCATTCAGCTATTTTAAATGTTTTTAAATACTTGTGTGCCGAATACCGTTCATCCTATGAATGGTTTTCTAATATGACTTTTATCCATGCCAACTTTTCAGATTTAACTTTTATTCCCGTCGATTTTTGGTCCTTCCAATTTTTTCATGTTCTACTTTTGTTCCTTTTGACTTTAATCTCCTTCACTTGTTTACCCTTCGACTATTTTCCTGTCGACATTCATACTTTTTCCTTTTCCTTCCTTCCACTTTCTGATGCAACTTCTATCCCCTCCGGCCATTACGATCGACTTTCTTCGTTTGGCTTTTGCCACTCCACCGTTTTGTTCAGGAACCGTCAAAGACTGGCCAATGGCCCTGTTCGATCTGCCGTCAGCACGACTGTCGCCTGGAATGAGTGACGTCATGCGTGCAGACGAAGCGCTCGATGTTTTTTTCGAGAGCTGACGAGGAAGTTTTCAACTTTACCTTTTTCCTTTACCTTTTAAATTTAGCCTGACACACTACCAACAACATCGTATGCATACCATGGTGTGTTACCTGCTTTGGTAATACTACGCATCCCAGTCATGTTGAGTGCCTCATCACTACCATCTCATAGCAACTTTTTTCTTCCTCATTTCAACTGTTGACCCCATTTCTGTGGAAAAGGCCTTTCTTTCCCTCCTACTTGTACTGGCATGAAAATCATCATTTCATTTAACCCCTTTTAGTGCTGACACTTCATTTTCGAGACGCGAGGTGCTTTGCTTCTGTTCTCCATGTCTTACGTCTACTCTAACGCTATAACATAACTGGGAATGAAACCACTCACCACATCGCTCACCGTTACTCACCTGCCTATGGCGTACTCTCGCATCAGGCAGTCCAAGTCCCTTTTTATCTATCCTCCGTCACATTCCTCACAATAAGAGACAAGTGCCCCCCCCCCCCCCCCCCCCCCCCCCCCGCCTAACGCACTCGCAAACGCAACAACTACCATATCAAACTCGCGCTTCTTTGTCAGAGTGATCTATTTAGTCTGGTAACGCATTCCCTCTGCTGACAGGATGACAAAAAAAATCCTGGCAGCAGCGTCAGCCAGCGCGTGATGTCACAGACCTCGTGATCTTGAGGCACGTGACATGACGTAGGGAAAATACTGGGCCGCGATTAAGACAAAGTCGAAGCCACGAGTTAAACATCACATGAAGCTAAAAATGAAACCTGTAAGTCAACAATTGTTCGGAACCGAAGCCAAAGCCGAAGCCCAGTATAAAATGCGATATAAAACCGAAACCGAAACCGCAGCGAATCGTTTAAAATAGCACGCACCCGACGCTGTGGAAAATGGCTCAAATCCGAAGCAAAACGAAACAATGGGACGATAACTGCAGCTTCACGAATCAGAAACCGATGTCCACTTGGTCATGATGCCTGGTAATGACACATCACTGCCGGGTCTCCAAAAATAGTCACTATAGGCGCCCTGGTGTGACAGATAACGTCAAGATTACGCCGACAGCAGCCAGCACGAGGCGGACAGCCGGACCATGTCCTCACAACTAGTTCCGAGCCCACCCCGCTGTCACAGCCGGCTCGGAGCCTTCCTGACATCACAACCGGCTTCGAGCCCTCCCTGCCGTCACAGCCGGCTCTAAGCCCTTCCCCCCCCCCCCCCCCCCATTGTCACAGCCGGCTCCGAGCCTTCCCGCCGTCACAGCCGGCTCCGAGCCCACCCTGCCGTCACAGCTGACTCCGAACCTTATCAGTGTCCGATAACGACGGCTAAACGTTGCGCTTTTTAATGCGTGACGCTAAGCCGGATTCTTATCGATGGTTGGGTGATGGGTTGCGGTGCGATACTGAGCGATTGTGATGCAATTTTCCAAGCGAAAGATGCGAGACGGTAGGCCAGTTCCAACGAATAAATGGACGACAGGATCTGATGACAGGACAAGGTAGTTAAAGCACCGACACGCACCGGTCCCAGCACCCATCCCAGATCGCCATTATCTCGCCCACACCGGTTAGCGCAACCCGCCTGCACGCCGACAGGTTGCTCACCTAGCACGCGAGCATTGAGCTCCAGCGTCACCGACTGGCCACTGTCGTCCGCCTTGGAAAGCACCAGCTTCTCCCTGAGCAGCTTCTCCTTGTGAACGATCACCTGCAGTGTCAGCTCGGTGCCGTCGCCGAGGGGCCGCATCTGCTGCACGCGCCAGTGCAGGCTGGGTATATCGGCCGGCAGCCAGTCATGGCAGTGCACAGGCACGCGGCACGTGATCCGGTACTGGTGCATCGCCTTGAGGAAGCCGGCGTGGATGCCGATCTTGCCGGCAGCCGGCACCACGTCCACCTTGTGCACGGGCGCGAGCGCGTCACCGTCCTCGCCCGACTCGCTGAAGTGGACGTGGTGCTCGGCGCGTTCTGCCGAGCGTTGCCTGCCAGTCACCTCCATGCTGCTGCCTGCGGCCGCCGCGCGTGACTGAGCCCTCCGCCCTACGCGCCAGACACGCCGGAACACCTGCCGGCGGGAGAGCAGCCGTCACCCTACTACGGCGACATCTATGGGGACGCGCGTCGACTCAGTCGCCGGCGACGCCTGGCGGGCGAGTGCGAACTGGGAAGCCCGCAAATGACGTCAGACACCAGCGGGGATTTGCGAACTGCCAGGACCGGGCTAACGTTCGGGCACTGACAGCTATCAAGGCAGGGAATCCAGACCATTGCCAGCAGGCAATCATGCCACATGCTGGCCATGACGTGACTCGGTGATATATAACAGGAATTTAATGAACTTTGAAAAGCAAGTGCAACAATGAAATGAAATTCCATTTTGTGTCAATGGCACAGTTACCTTCATTCTTCTCCAAGTTTGGGGTGCCAATAATGTAGTGGTTAATGGGTCTGCATGAACCAATGTATGCCTGGGATACCAGAGGCACAGGGTTTGATTCCTTGTGATGCCCATCCTCCCTACCAGGGTAAGAGGCAGCCGAATGTGTTGTAAAGCCCCCATGACAACAACAATCCAAATTTGGTTGAGGTCCGGTAGCTGTTTCCTGACATAAATGTTTTATACCTTCAACTGACTTTACATTAGGAACTTACCCTTCCACTTTTGCCATCAAACTATACCATTGACTTGGAAGGAATGACATGATTGATGGTAGGGGTCAGGGCTCTCAAAACAAGCACTGGTTAGCTTGAGTTCTGATCCCAGATACCCATCTATTCATAACAGTTGGATGAAATCTTAAAAAGATTATAGAAAATATGCAGCCCAGGAGAACAAGACTCACCATGTATGGAGACAATTACTGCAATACAGTGCATTCTTGAAAAGGCAACAAAGCATTAGGTCCAAAAATACTTTCAACCCACAGATAGCCTGGAACTTATCAAGGTTCTGCTGATGAATAATTATAATGCATCATTAGAGAGGTGCATTCAGACCTTTTTAAGCATTAACACATGGTCCTGAATGCAGATGGCCGCTCAGGGGTCAACTGGCATTGCCATTTCACTGTTTTTGTTGAGATTTCTGTCAGTGACTTTGCAGTCACTGGATCCTGCTCATGTATCTGTGCCAGCTTTATCCTGAGCATGTCTTGTTTGACCACCATAGGTCAGCAAAAGGATCTTGTTTGCCCAATGCTGAACTACACAGTCTACCAAATGCCCCCTATATAGTAAACCATGCCTTGCACATATTAAGCCCTCCTAGTGACTGTTTGTACAATCTATGGACACAAAATTAGGTTAGGTTATAACACAGTCAAGATTAAAGGAAAGTCACCTGTATATGATAGATGTCCTATAACATATTGTACACCACTGCAATGAGTCTGTTAACAGGCTCATACTACCTACACAGTGTGAAATGAGTTCTTTCTCACACCTCTATTACAGATAAAACACTTCAGGTTTGTTACTGGATATGAAATGCATAGCAATAGCAAACTGTAATTGGTTTTATTTAGATAAATCTGGGTCAAATAAAACACAGAAAATATATGTGGGTCTTAAATCAATTAATCAATCATTCAGAATTGATTTAAGAACCAACCACACTAGCTGTGAATTATGCTTGATTTAAACCCCTAGCTTAAGGTGATTCTGAATCAAATCTCATTTGATTCTTGTGGAATGAATCAGCTGAATGAACATTGCAGCAGTAGGAAGTGCTCCAAAGGTAGGTGTCCTGTCTGTGATAAGAAGACTGGCAAGCTGAGTCTTAGAGAAATAAATGATAATATGACTGACAATATGCTTTTGTGATTGTTGGGAGCCTGCATGGAGCAAATGCCACCCATCCTAATGCATAACATAAGGCAGGAGTACAAAGCTTTATCCTGGTTAAACAAAGGGAGCAAGGCACATGACAATGAGCAGCCAAATGTTTCATGGACGTTCATACTATTTTATGAAATCCTCATCCTAGATGTTTACAATTTATGGAGAACCTAGTGTTTCAGAGAATGTAAATAAATTCTTCATACACAAACACAGCCATATAAATACATGCTATTCATACTGTGGTGTAAATAATTTACAGATGATCCCCAACTTTTCACAGTGCTGTATCTAAATATGGGGATCCGAAATCCTGTCTTGTGATGGAAAGGCAAGGCTTGATTCAAATCATGTTGCTTCAAATTATAAATGAGGCCCCCCCCCCCTACCTAAATGGAAATCAGAGAGGGTCACAAACAATTTGTTTGCACCGAGAACTAACTCCAACCACTAACTGAAGCCTGATTCGAATCTTGATTCGACTCCCAATAAGAGTAGAGCCGCTCTGATTCATGAGGAATTGGATCAAGCCCAATATTCAACTAATTGTTGCGGCAAAACACAAACTGTCCACACACTATAACCTCACCTAAATGCTTCTAAAAGCAGGCCGCCACACTCAGCCTCACCGTTCCACCGCGGCTGCCACAATATTTTACAAATTCGCCGGTAATCTAGTTGGAGCGCAGCCAAATCGCGATCTTTTGTTGTCTGATACCGATAGGTAAGGGATGGTGGCGCGTTGTAGACATAAGTGATTGTCAGGGAGTTGAAGTATCTTATAAATAGTAAGACTTTATATTAATGTGATCAGCAAAAGTAGCTTACAAAAACCGGGAAAAATCACTTACTTTAGTTGAAAAAAAGTTTTGGTCAGACTCCCACAAAAAAGCCGGTATGCTCAAACACAACATATGCTAAGAACCAAGGCGATCTAACGCTGCGAACCGAAGATTGCGGGCACACTTCTTCCACTCCCTAGCAGAAGCCAGGCGCCAGTGGAGGGGGTTGATGGACGGGGGAGTGGGCCAGTGAGTGTTGGAATGCAAGGTAGGGTGTGCGGTTCTAGCATTCGATGCGATTTCTCAAATCGTTGTCCAAGGGTGGCGTGATTGTGCTGTCCTTTTGTTGATCGTACCTGCGTCAATTATGCACAGCTGTAACGATCGCCATCAGACTACAGCCCAACGGTCGATTGGTGCCAAACAAAACAGTCCCGCGCAGAGTAGCTCGTTGGTCTTATTTTGTGACAGTTTGAAGCTTTTTAAATATTTTTGCGCACTCAGCTTGCGAAAGAAGACCATGAGCATGCAATGCAAGTCATTTCGCGACTGCATACCAAATTTGATCTGTGGTGCTGCGATGAGGTGCAACATTTTCCTTGCCCTTAATGAATGTGGACCAGCCTCATATTGGTTGCCCAGCCGTGCCCAATGACCGATAAAGGGATGTTGCCCTTTCGCCAGATGTCAGCGAGAGGCATTGCGCTTGTCCATAATGAAGACGAATCTGTCGCTGAGGCCCAGTCCCCCTCGGCTGTGGGGTGGCCCGAGAAACTGGCCAACGGAACGCCTCCGCGTGATTCAGGCCACTGGCACACGCCTGATTCTTCTGAGGCATCCGCGCACGAAGACGTGCGGCGATCCACTTCGGAGCGGTGCAACCCTGTCGATGGTGATGGCACAAGCTGGGACAAGGCAGACGGGGCCGACGGCCAATCATCCGTCACATCAAGCTTGTCTCAAGTCACCATGGGGCCCTCAGAACCCTGCTGCAGCGCAGGCTGTTCCTCGTCTAACGGCTGGTCCGGGACATTACCGGCTCTGGGGTCAGCAGAACTCGAGTGCCGCGCTTGCGGGGCAGGCTTCCACTCACGTGACGGGGTCAGTTCCTCATCCCCCCGACCCGGCGCAGAGTGCTCTTGTAGATCGGACAGGGCGGACCAGTGCTCAGCGGTTGGCATCGAGCGCTCGGGCGACGTGCGACCGTCAGACGCTGTCATTGGCGGCGGCAGTGACGACACCATGCGGGCACCTTGCCATCCTCTGGACGCCAGGAGGGTCGCAAGCACAAACCCTGCGAGCACGACCACGCCCCCTACCCGTGATATAAGTCCTTTGGAGGGCATTGGAACGGAGTTCGCGGAAGTTGCCGCTCTCACTTGCCCTTTTACGCTTAATCTGTGTATACCGGAAGACGATGGGACGGAGCCTACACGCTTGACGCTCCCAGACGCTCGGTTGGCGCTGGAGCTCTCCCCGAGGGAGGACGCCGCTGCGGAGATCTCGCGTGATCCACAGCTGAAGCTCGGCCTGTCGCCATCGGAGGGGCAGGCTCAGCTGGTCAGTATTGGGGCCGTCTCGGCGTCCGTCCGGCCCAAGCGGAGAAGCCCGGCACCGGCTGGGGCCACGCCGAGCGAGCCGACTTCACTGAGCGAGCTCGGTCGCCTGGACGTGAACGTCAGCTCGTCGCTGGTGCGACGGCCTCGGTTCCTCGTGCGGCCCGCGCTGAACACCTGCCAACTCAAGTACGCGCTGGACGAGACCGCTTACCGGGCAGGTGAGGAGACGTCCTCAGTGTTGGGGGTCGGCGGTGACTGCTCTGGCCGGGGATGCAGAGATGCCGATCAGCCCATCAGCTGTGGGGATGGCCTGCAGTACATTTGGACACGAAGCGGTTCAAATGACAGTTCGGTGGCGTATCTTGACCTGGTTATACTGTAAAAATAGCATCTAGGAAGGGATTAAGAGCATTTTGTGCCGTATGCTCTAGACCAAAAGAGCTATTGGATGATGTTGATCGATATTTCCAAAGAGATCTGTCCACGGGTGCAGCCACCAAGCGACTGGTTTTCTCAAAATAGAGAATGATCGTTTGGTAACGTTGTTTAACCATAACCTCCTAGTAAACTGGAGGTTGGTTTTTTCCATATGAGAACTCCTAGCTTATGGCGCCTTAACATTACGAGTCCAGGGCCTCTTGCCTGCACGACTTGCAAACGTATCAAAGCGTTGCTCGGACTCCTTTTCCAAACGGTCACTCTGGTTAATGCACAGTCATCAGCTTTTACCGTCCATGTTGGCTTACATTGTCTACAATGTCCTTTCAGAGGATTAGGCAGTTCAGTTTCACTTTTTGTGTGGGTACATCCTGGCAGTGTACACGAATTTTTGCAGCCTCTCGTCTGCACGTATTAGGTCAGCCGATCTGCACAAAATCGTCTTTTTGCGTTTCGGACCACCATGAACAAGCGAAGAATGACAGCTATTTTCGTCGATCACAGCCGATCCATTTACAAATATTTTGTCTTCGAATTACAGGTCTTCCAAACTGTTACCGAAAAATGCAATTGCATGTCGTCTTTACACAGAAAATCATTCTTCAGCAAGATAACAATTTCGGAATCAACTTAAAAAAATTGGACACATGGACGCTACTTAAAGTAGCCAAAATCCGGGGAAAATCAGGACTGGGAGAGGGGGCAGACCAGGTCACCTTTATCGGTTCAGCCCCAAATCGGTTTTAGGCAATCCTGACTAGAATGGCGGTCGCTTGCAGTACTGTCGTGGAAAGCTGTTGATTCAACAAATAAGATTTGCCATGAGTTTTAGTTATTCGATTGAGTCCCTTGGCCCTAATTTCGCATCACCATTGCTAATTGTGTGTTTTTAACCACGTCTTTGAAATGCTGGTGTAGAACATACTAAGCCGTGTAAAACACGTTTCAGACCTTACCATCTATTGCAAAAAGTATATACGTGTGGAGAGAGCGACACAGAACATGACAAGCTCACATGCTTCTGACAGCCCTTCAGTTACACTTTGACGACGTGGTGTGACGCATTCAAAGCGGCTGCCTTGTATTAGGACACCATTTGTATTGATATTTACAATTGTTTTATTTGTTTTATTTGTCACTTGTAACTCATGCTCTCTAATAGGTGGATCGGATCACGACCTGGCCGCCATCGCTAAATCCAGTGAAAGTCGAGCCGGTTTGCGCAACAGACCATGGCGGGGGTGTTGTCGGACGAAGAATGCTCTGCTGTTCAGCTGACTGCCCGATGCGAGCTGGGAAGCGCATCCCTGCCGTTCTGATGCGAGCGCTCTGCCTCCAGAGACGACGCGGCTGGCGCCGCCGGACGGGGGCTGGGGCTGGGTCGTCCTGGCCGGCAGCATGACCATCAACATCCTCATTCCGGGATTCATCAAATCCTTCGGCGTGCTCTTCGATGACGTGTGCGCGCAGTTTGACGTCACGCCAGCGACCGCGGCGTGGATCCCCGCCCTTTCCTTCTTCATGTACAACTTTATGGGTGAGCATGACCACTGGGTCGAGTTCAGTTCAGCATTGCGACGAGCACTGCGGCTCAGCGCGGCTTATCCCGATGCTGAGCTGCAGTGCGGCGCATGCCGTCTTGCCGGCTCGGCTGGTGGCCGCTCATGTGTCCGGAGGCGGCTGAGGTCGCGGCGCGTGCTCCCCGGCCACCGATCTGGCGGCCTCAGTGCGGTGTGTGCGGGCCTTGTGGCTGCGGTGGTGGTGGGTGTACGGGCCCTGTGACCGCGGTGGTGGCGGGTGTACGGGCCCTGTGGCTGCGGTGGTGGCGGGTGTACAGGCCCTGTGGCTGCGGTGGTGACAGGTGTACGGGCCCTGTGGCTGCGGTGGTGGCGGGTGTACGGGTCCTGTGGCTGCGGTGGCGGCGGGTGCATGTGCTGTCCAGCTGCCGCTCCCGGCCACTGAGCGTGTGGTCCTTGAGGCGCCATCAGTCGCCTATGACGACCGCCCTCGTGGGCACGGTCCGATCGATGGCTCGGGTCCGAGCGTCTCCGGCCGGCAACAGAACGGGTGGCCCGGCCCGGCCGACCCGGGCCAGCGGCAGCTCCACTCCCCCGCGGGCCATGGCTCCACCTTGTGGCAGGGGACGAGCACCTCACGACGGCTGGGCGGCGGAGGCGCGGCCCAGATACCCTAGAGCTAGGCATCATGCATGTTGCTACCGTCGTCAATGTCACTGACGTGCCACTGCCGCTGCCTCTGCCGCTGCAGGTCTGGTGGGAGGCGCTCTCTGTCAGAAGTACTCGTGCCGCGTGACCAGCACGCTCGGCGGCCTGCTGGCATCGGCCGGCCTCCTGGTCAGCTACTGTGCCGACCACATCTACTATCTTTACCTGGGGTCAGTTCTCTCCAACCGATCAGGTCCAGCCTAACTAGGCTGTTCGGGGTGAAGCCGAACGCGCCGCCCACGGTTTTTCATTGTTTCGCAAGTTTGCCAGGATTCCAGTATGTGTTGTATTCGGCCATGCCTGAACTACTCATGCAACTGACCGACGGATCAAAGAGAAAAGCATGCCTTGTTGGTTGAGAAGTGGAAGAATAGGTGGGTGATAACGGCCTTCATGTCGGCCTGTTAATGCGTATGCATTAATGTGCACGTCCCGCATCGTGGCACAGGCAACATTGATGCATTAGCGTGTCTGAATTTTACGAGTGGAACCCCCAATGGTATGATCAACTTACGCCTTACGAGTGGTCATAAATCAACCCAACCGAAAGAGCACGAAACTGAGCCAACCCCGTAGCTCAGTCGGTGAAGCGTCGAACACTGGTCACCGTACAGCGGACATGGGGCTTCGGCGTCCCAGAAACTGTGTTTTGGAAACTGTCCGGTACGTGCTCAGGACGGGTCTGACGGGCTCAGATCTGCGCTCAGGACGGGTCTGACGGCCTCAGGTCCGCGCTCAGGATGGGTCTGACGGGCCCAGGTCCGCGCTCAGGACGGGTCTGACGGGCTCAGGTCCGCGCTCAGGATGGGTCTGACGGGCTCCGGTCTGCGCTCAGGATGGGTATGACAGGCTCCGGTCTGCACTCAGGATGGGTCTGACGGACTCCGGTCTGCGCTCAAGATGGGTCTGACGGGCTCCGGTCTGCGCTCAGGATGGGTCTGACGGGCTCCGGTCTGCGCTCAGGATGGGTCTGACGGGCTCAGGTCCGTGCTCAGGACGAGTCTGACGGGCTCCGGTCTGCACTCAGGATGGGTCTGACGGGCTCCGGTCTGCGCTCACGATGGGTCTGACGGGCTCCGGTCTGCGCTCAGGATGGGTCTGACGGGCTCCGGTCTGCGCTCAGGACGGGTCCGTCGGGCTCAGGTCCGTGCTCAGGACGAGTCTGACGGGCTCCGGTCTGCGCTCAGGACGGGTCTGACGGGCTCTGGGCCGCACTCAGGACGGGTCTGACGGGCTCTGGGCCGCACTCAGGATAGGTCTGACGGGCTCTGGTCTGCACTCAGGACGAGTCTGACGGGCTCCGGTCTGCACTCAGGATGGGTCTGACGGGCTCTGGGCCGCACTCAGGATGGGTCTGACGGGCTCAGGTCTGCACTCAGGACGAGTCTGACGGGCTCCGGTCTGCGCTCACGATGGGTCTGACGGGCTCCGGTCTGCGCTCAGGATGGGTCTGAGGGGCTCAGGTCCGTGCTCAGGACGAGTCTGACGGGCTCAGGTCCGCGCTCAGGACGGGTCTGACGGGCTCCGGTCTGCGCTCAGGATGGGTCTGACGGGCTCTGGTCTGCGCTCACGATGGGTCTGACGGGCTCCGGTCTGCACTCAGGATGGGTCTGACGGGCTCTGGGCCGCACTCAGGATAGGTCTGACGGGCTCTGGTCTGCACTCAGGACGAGTCTGACGGGCTCCGGTCTGCACTCAGGATGGGTCTGACGGGCTCTGGGCCGCACTCAGGATGGGTCTGACGGGCTCTGGGCCGCACTCAGGATGGGTCTGACGGGCTCAGGTCTGCACTCAGGACGAGTCTGACGGGCTCTGGTCTGCACTCAGGACGGGTCTGACGGGCTCTGGGCCGCACTCAGGACGGGTCTGACGGGCTCTGGGCCGCACTCAGGATAGGTCTGACGGGCTCCGGTCTGCACTCAGGACGAGTCTGACGGGCTCCGGTCTGCACTCAGGATGGGTCTGACGGGCTCTGGGCCGCACTCAGGATGGGTCTGACGGGCTCAGGTCTGCACTCAGGACGAGTCTGACGGGCTCCGGTCTGCGCTCACGATGGGTCTGACGGGCTCCGGTCTGCGCTCAGGATGGGTCTGAGGGGCTCAGGTCCGTGCTCAGGACGAGTCTGACGGGCTCAGGTCCGCGCTCAGGACGGGTCTGACGGGCTCCGGTCTGCGCTCAGGATGGGTCTGACGGGCTCTGGTCTGCGCTCACGATGGGTCTGACGGGCTCCGGTCTGCGCTCAGGATGGGTCTGATGGGCGGCTGCGGCGGCTGTTTCGCCTACTCGTCCGGTGTCTTGGTGGTGGGCAGCTACTTCGAGCGTCGCCGCGGCCTGGCCAACGGACTATGCGTCTCGGGCAGTGCTCTGGGCGCGATGATCTTCCCGCCGGCGCTGGATCTTCTATTGGAGCACTCTGGCTTCAGGTGGGACGCCCTGGCGACATTGGCTGCTCCTCTAGCTGACGGATGACGCTGTGACGTCACTGGGGCCCAGCCGCGGTGGGGTCCTGGGTGTTCGCGCGTGTGCTTCTTCCCAGTTACGTCTGTTTCTCACGAGCGGCATTTTCCTTCACGTCCATTGGTCCATTGGCGCCTGCCTGCCATCGATGCTGGTCACTTCCTCCCAATCGCACTAGCCTTGTCACAGTAGCTGCAGTTTCTCTCGCCGTGATACCACCATGTTTTGTCAATATAACATCAAGGCACTAGACGCTATAAGCGTCGACTTTCTCCGCAGTGACGAGAACGCTGACCCTGTAGGCGCCTGTCTTGTCGCTGCTGACGCCAGCTGTGACTGCAGTGACGCCCGCTCAGAGCCCCCTCCCCCCGTCACCCCGTTCACGCCAGCCCTGATCGCAGTGACACCATTTCTCCTGCCGCCAGTGACGCCATGCTGTTGCTGTGCGCCGTACTGCTGCATGTGGTGCCCTGCGCCGCCCTCTACCAGCCTGTGGAGTGGCACATGGTGCGCGTGTCGGCGGTGGCCGACGAGGCGCCGGCGCCGCCGGTGCCCGGGCCGAGGCCGGGGACGCTGCTGGCCTCGCGCTCGGCTACGCCGCTGCCGGCGCCGCGAGCCTCGCTGGTACTCGCCTCGCCGGCCGGCACGCCCAGCTCCCGCGGCTCGGTGCACTCGCTCTGCTACCTGAGCACGGTGCTGCATGGCAGCTCGCTGGCCGTCTCGCAGAAGGAGGGCTCGCACCAGATCATCGAGGCGGCCATCCGACGGCGCACGGCCAGCGTGTGCTCGCCGCAGGAGCGGGCGCCGCCACCGCCGCCGCCGGCAGCGGCCCAGCCACGCCGCCCGCTCATCGAGCTGACGCTGCTCTGCAACCCCGTCTTCCTGCTGATCATCACCTCCAGCGCCCTGTTCCAGGTCAGAGCACGCGTGAGACGCCCGCCCAGCTGCCGGTGGCCAGTTGGCACAGCGGAATCGTGGCTTCTTATCACCGTCCGATTGCCGCGTGTCTCTGTTCTGGCTAGCATTGCAGGAAAGGAACGCATTTCTGATGCTTCCTTTGTAGCCTTGATGTGTTGCACGCCGTATTGATTTGGACGCGTTCACATTGGCAATACGCCGTAGTCGGGATTACTTGCGGAGGTTCACGAGAACTTCGCTTTATGTTCACGCCACAACGAAATAGTATGAAGCGATGATCCATAACAAGGGTCAGTTCTGTGGTAACGTTTAACGTCAGTTACCTTTCGGCCTCTAAAATGCGTGCTAGACTGACGATACTAGTCTCGAATCTGCACGTTCATGCGACTACATTCGGATGCCAGCTACGGTGGACCATTACTCACCTCCGCATGGTATGCCCTTGGCTGTTGTTGCATGACGCGTTAATGAACACCGGCTAAGTGTCCTTCCGCGGCTTGCTTAAGCTCAGAGGAGCCGATGAAAGGGACCGTAAGGGGTGCCTTTTGCAATGGGCCCTAGTGTACGTGCACATGAGAGTCTGGCGCTCCAAACAATTCTTGGCTGGTGGGCGGTTGGATCCGATTTGCTCGCGCGCGATCTGTTTGGCTGGATCAGGGGGGGGGGGGGGGTCGCCGACTCAACAGCGTGGAACGGTCGGCCAGTGAGGAAGTTGAGTGGGTCGCGTGAGGCTCCGCTGGGGATTCTGGGGTCAATAGATGATACGCCGTTCCTCCCGTCAAAATGCTAATAATTGGTGATATCGGACTGCGTCGCAGCGCGCCGGCGACGCTGCTGCCTGCCCTACGAACAGAGCATCTTCGTTGTTGTTTTGTTTTAGTTTCAGCCGCGCGAGCTATTCGGCGCCTCAACACCGCGCCACTGCTCAGCTGTGTATTTCCATAGACATAAATGAAGATGGCATCTGTTGAGATGTTATGCTTGACACATACCTTGATGCAGCACAACCTAGATATGCCTTTTCTTTAACAATTATTTGTACTATAACAGCAATGCACTTCGGATGTCATGTCATGTCATTGGGGCTTTACGACGCACTCAGCTGCTGAGGCTATATGGCGTCGCCTGCCTCTCACCCTGGCAGGAAGGGCGGGCACCGCGGGGAATCGAACCCCGTACCCCCGGTTTCCCAGACGCGCAGTGGTTAACGCAGACGCGTTAACCACTGCGTTAGCGCAGACGCGTCAACCACTACACTACCCAGTGCACTTCGGATGATGTGATGCAATCACATCAACATACTTGCGACGTTAGTGTGCTGTGTGGAGAGCTAAGCGACACCGTGTTCCGTTTCCCGGCGGGCGCGTCCCACCAGAACTAGGCGACAGTCTTGTTGATGCCCTTGGGGAAGCACATTGCGCAGCTCAATGCACAGCCGCCACAAAGTCTTCTCATCTTGATACAGCTTGATGTCTTCTGCTGTCGCAGCACTTCAGCGTAGCTGGGTGAGCGGGACGGTACCACCGCTGACGAGACTGCGACCGATTTGGGATTGTCGGCCGCCGGTATGGGCGGCGAACAGTGCGGTCCGGCGGCTGCTGTCGCACTGTCCTCGGCGGTGCGAGGACGGCGATCGCCCTAGTATCTCGACTTTGCCGAGCGGGGTGGGCTGGGCGCCGGCGTGTCGCCGCGCTGACGGTCGCGCCGGGGGTCGGCGCTGCGCTGCCGGCCGGACTCACGAGTCTCGAGCGCGCCGTGCCGGAGCGTCAGCGTGGTGAACACGGAGCACGCCTGGGCGTCTGGCGACGTGGCGCCGCTGACACGCCGCCGCGGCCGGTGGCGCGGCTTCTGCGGCCCAGCGGCGGCGGCGGCGGCGGCGGTGCGCGCCCACTTCTGCGCCGGCGGGCGCCCCAGGCGGCGCACCAAAGCCTTGAGCGCCGCCTGCAGCAGCGCGATGGCGGTGAAGACGGAGTAGCCGAGCAGCAGGCCGAGCATGCCGCCCACGTCGGCCACCAGGTCGGCTCCAGTCAGCGCTGGCCGCTCCTCCACCATCATCATATCCACCGTGTCGAAGTAGACGCTGACGTACCAGTCGGCCTGCCGGCAGGGGCGGACACCGGTTAGCGAACGGTGCCAGCTCTCTCTGGCGCTCGGTCAGCTCAGGCAACGCCCAGCGGACACTGAATGAGACACTGGCGCAGTGGTGAAGCGCATTGACGTGCGCGGAGAGTTGGTGCAGTGAGCGCGAAATCGTCTGCATGCGATTTCGCGTCATGTGAGCTAAGCTACAAGTATCGTTGTGTTGTGGCTCCGTAGTATCAGTCTCGAGCCGTTCGGGTAGTGCTCAATTGAAAGTGCGGTGGTGGGGAGCACGTGAGTTGTAATTGAAGCTGAAAACGTGCTGACTGGGCGTAAGCCGCCATGCTCCAGAACAGCATGCAGAACAGCAGAACTTCAGAACAGCAGAAAACGTCCGCAAGAACTGCAGGATATGGGTGGTCTGTCAGTCAAACTGCGTGCGGTGAAAGCTGCCGCTCACTGGCCGAGCCACGAGCAGGCTGTCGGCGGTGCTTACCGAACCGGGCCCTGGAGCCGTGCCAGCCCCGGTCGGCGCGGCACTCACATCCCACTGGACGGGGTCGCGGGTGGTGACCCGCGTGACGGACGGGATCAGCTGGCGACAGGCGCGCCGGCAGCCAGTGGCCGCCGCCGGCTGGAAGCTTCGCACGAACCGGTCGTATTGTGCCGGCGAGCGGCAGGCCGGCAGCTGCGCCTCGGCCGTGCCCGGCGCCTCCAGGAAGTGCGGCAGGCAGCCGGCGGCAGCGGCCGCCGCGCGCACGCGCGCCTGCTCCTGGCAGTGGTGGCGGCCGGCGCTGGACGGCGCGCACGGCCGATGGCGCCGGCCCAGGTAGCGGAACTGCTTCCACGTGACAGACAGCGCCACGCTGCGCTCGCCGGGCGGCGCCCAGAACACCTGCACCGGGCTGTTCTTGTTCTGCTTGGTGCCGCCGTGTATGAGCTGATTGTGCGGCAGCGGCACGAAGTGCACCACCAGCCAGGGCCCGGTGAAGCCGCGCCGACGCCACCCGGACAGGTCCAGTCTCTCGGCCGACGGCAGCGTCTTGTTGGCGTCGAACGTGACGCACGACACCTCCGACATGAGCATGCCCGGCAGCAGGTACGTCAGCGAGATGTTGAAGTCGTCGAACGGGCTGGTGGCGTTGAAGCTGCCCTCCTCGGCAAGCAGCTCCACCGAACGGACCATGTCGGCCAGCGGCAGCGACGAGGCGGCCAGGTACTGGCGCAGCGTGCCGTTGGCCGGCCAGAGCGGGTCCTTGGACGGCGGCAGGTACTGGCTGCGCTCGCGCGCCGCGCACACGCTGACCAGCGGCATGTTCTCGGCGGGCTGGTACGACACCAGCGACGTCGTCTTGTCGGAGAGAAACTCCAGCGTCTTCCAATAGGTGAGACTTAACAGGAAGCAGACGCAGGCGGCCCGCGCCATGACGCAGGTCACGCAGATGAGGATGTTGAGCGGTCCTTGGGACGTCATACTGCGACCTAGTCGATGCGTGCAGTGCCGCCCTCTGCCCGCCGGTGGCCGCGAGCTCAGACTGGGACGCCGCGCCGCGGCAGACCGGCGCCCCGGGTCGTCAGGTTTAGGTCGATGATTTCACAGATCGGTCGCTGTTGATGGCGTATTTGTCACATCGAGTGACAGGCGCCAGGGGTCGCCGACCTATGCGAACCCATGTCGTCTTCGCATTTATAGAATCGAAAGTCAAGCGGTCTGTAGGACAATGGATGTTTGGCTCTTACTTTGTTGTGATTAGCATGGTGCTTACTTTGTTGTGATTAGCATGGTGCTTACTTCGTTGACCAGTTTAATGTCCCCGGAAGACGGGTCTGTTAAGATGTTTCTAAAATGTTTCTGGAATTTCCATTTCTGATATGTACCGCTGCACAATTTTGCCATATCTTGAGGTAGAAGGCGAAAGTAGCAAACTGCCTGTTGAGCATACGCTTACTTTGCGACCTGTTCGGCGTTCATTTCCGGTCGCATTGCGAGAAGGGCTTTACGTCATGCTCTGGCACCACAGCCGTATGCAGACTGGGTAGTACAGATGTAGCCGTACAGTGGTTTACGTTTAAGAGTCGTCGGTCGGTGACGCATCCGTCGACGACGTCAGGTTGGATACCCCTGCGCATCCACTGCTTTGCATGATCCCAGGGCAATTTTGTTCCGCTGGACCATTATCCAGCGATAATGAATTAATCAAGCAAATTGTAAGTAGGTAATTGAGCACCTCTACAGCTAATTGTTCCGAAAGGTTGATTCATCAGGTAAGTGTGGGCTGGAAATTGTTTGTTCGTCGCGATCTGAGGCATGTCGCAAGTTAGGTCTATTTTTCTTTCTCTTGCCGACATGATTTGCGAAGGGAGGCCTGAAGACCTGACTTCGTTAACACGCTCTGTCACGTGACAATGACAGCAGCGCATGGACGTCACCGGTGGGCGGTGGCAAGCTGGATGCCCTTGAATAGTACTAACGTACTAACTGACGTACTAGCTGACGTACTAATCTGCCCATGGGCAGATTAGTACGTCAGTGGCTGGGTCACTTGACGGCACCTTCTTAACATTTGGTGTGCTGAGTGCTGCACAGGCAGGGCATAAACGCACAAGGAACGGCAGTAGATATCGGACTTTGTTTTACCGAGGTACAGACTAACTGGTAAACTGACAAACACAGTAAATTACATTTTGCTTTGTTCAAGTAGAATTAAACAGTCGAAGCAGGAATTTGGTGCCTATTTTTTTCGCCTCGATAAGAATGCAGCTATATCCTGCGTGGGATCCGGGACGACAGGATGCGTGTCAGCTGCTTGCAGCGAGCTGCTCTGGTGTCCGGCGGCCGACATGACTCGCTAGGCGGGCGCTGCGCTCCCCGTGCCTCGGCAAGCCCCACCGGCTGCATCACCCGGTCAGAACGGCATCACTTGGCTGTCGTTGGTACGCTGCCCGTACATAACACGAACGGGGCACGTGGCTGCGCAAAGATGGCATATCATTCGTGGTGGCAGAAGTTCAACACATTCGTATGTATGTCAGTTATTCACGAGTTACTGCATGTGTTCGTGTACGATCGCACTCGCTCAATGTTTGTCATTTAAATGAATATGTAAATGGCAGACATTAGGCGCAAGTAGCCTCATGGGCTCCAAACGGTTAAGCTGAAGAGGCTTACCCTTTCACGGAAGCACAGTATTTTGGTCATTATATCGCCACCGTGAACTTAAGCATCATTGATCGACTTAATCAGACACTAATGCGAACAAATGGTCAGAGGGTCCATCATATGGCAGCCGACGGGTAACACTCCAGGGGGGGGGGGGATAAGTGCTGGCTCACAATCCGGAGAGTAAGTACTGGCTCACGGCCCGGGGGAGCGGGTTAAGTGCTGGCCCACGGCCCGTTTCCTGAGTGACCGCTCGAATGGGCCATGTTCAAACCTGCCTGGCGCCGTGTCTCAGGCAGTCACATCGGTCAGCAGAATCGGCAGAATTCACACGGGCTCTCCCTATGCGCGGTGTTGTGGGTGGCCCCGGCCAACTCCCATTCACACGGGTCTCTCACTGCAGTTTGAGGCACACTAAGCCGAGCCTCTGCCTGCTCCTCACGGGGTCCTCACGGGCCATGGAGCCGGCTCTGCCTGCCCCCCACGGGGTCCTCACGGACCATGGAGCCGGCTCTGCCTGCTCCCCACGGGGCCCACACGGGCCATGGAGCCGGCTCTGCCTGCCCCCCACGGGGCCCACACGGGCCATGGAACCGGCTTTGCCTGCCACCCACCGGGTCCACACGGGCCATGGAGCCGGCTTTGCCTGCCCCCCCCACGGGGTCCATACGGGCCATGGAGCCGGCTCTGCCTGCCCCTCAACGAGTTCACACGGGCCATGGAGCCGGCTCTGCCTGCCACCCACGGGGTCCACACGGGCCATGGAGCTGGCTCTGCCTGCCCCTCAACGGGTCCACACGGGCCATGGAGCCGGCTCTGCCTGTCCCCCACGGGGTCCACACGGGCCATGGAGCCAGCTCTGCCTGCCCCTCACGGAGTCCACACGGGTCATGGAGCCGGCTTTGCCTGTCCCTCAACGGGTCCACACGGACCATGGAGCCGGCTCTGCCTGCTCCTTGCAGGGTCTACAAGGGTCATGGAGCCACCGGTGCGCTGGCGGTACTTGTCTACGCAACCCCGTGGTACAACCATTTACCCACCTGAGGAACAGCCTGGCAGTGACTGGTAAGGCCCGACAAAAGGGGTGGACTAATATTGTTATGTAACAGTGGGCAAGCGGGCCAACTATTTTCGGCACAAAACCCCATTCCCGCGGATTCCTGCGGGGCAAAAACACGCAGCAGAGCACACACGCAGCACCTGGTGATTCTCCTCCCGATTCATGTTCGGCGCTTGCATTTCAGGATGTCCGTTCAACTTCAAGTACGCGCATGGCATTCCCACGCTTGTATGGCGGGACACAGCTCACCATTAAGTGTGGCAGGCATCATGAACTGTAGTGAGGTGAGCGAGGTAAGACAACGCCAGAAAAAGTCGAGAGACTCGCACAGCTCATCTAGTGAGAGTCTGCTCGCTTCCGGATTTGACGAGGTTATGAGCTTGATCAGGCAAGAAAATGTTACACATCGCGAAACAATTTTGACCGAGACCAGGAAAGAGTTATTGCTGGCCGTAAAAGATACGGAAACGAAGCTAGAGGCTGTCGAGGCCAGACTAGAACAGAAAGCAGTGGACCCAGAAACGTATGTACCCGAAAAAGATGACCTGGTGAAAAAAACTCAACGACCAAGTGATCACCTCAAAGCAAGTCATTATGATCATGCAAGCTGAAGCAGAGCTCAGAGAAATGCAGTGGGAGTCGACCTCTGCATGCCGTCATTACCGGTGTCGATTTTCCGTCGTGACCGTCTGCCTCGGTCCTTGTGGGGCCGGGCTGCCAGCTGGGGGTGTGGCCAACTGTCCCGCCCTGCCATCTGGCGGAGTCTACAGCTGGCCGTCTCGCGCGCTCCCACGGCCGGCGGGCGGCGGATGTTGCTCCGCGGTGGTTGCCGCTGTGGCCCACGGGGCAGTCCCGTGGTGGGAGGTGGCGTTGTCACGATCCAAGACGGTGTGTATGTCATTGTGTGATTGTTCGAACACAAAACAAGAAGAAATGTAAACGTTGGGATGTTCGAAAATCAACAAAATGTGATCAGCAAAAAAACGAAAAATATTTTCGCGGATCGATCCCTACGGAGCAAAAACACAACAGAACACACACAGAGCACGTGGTGATTCACCGCCCGATTCATGTTCCGTGCTTGCATTTCAAGATGCCTGTTCAGCTTCAGGTATGCGCATGGCATTCCCACGCTTACATGGCGGAACACACCTCACTGTAAATTTTAGTCATCTCTTCGCGGTGAGCGAATTAGTAGAAAGTGGCAGTAACAGTATAGCAGCCATTCTGAACCGTGCGTCTGCAACTCGTTAGCCACTCCCTTGTTGCTGCGGCTGTCCGTCTGGCCAGTCGCTGACCGTCCGTGAACGCTCTACAGGTGTCCGTCTCGAACCTGCTGGTCATCTTGCCGTCCTACACGACGCACCTGGGCTACAGCCGGCAGCAGGCGTCGCTGCTGCTGTCGGTGTTCGCCGGCAGCGACCTGGCGGGCCGCATCAGCGGCGCGGCGCTCTCCGACCTGGAGCTGGTGCCGCGCCGCTGCTTCCTGCTGGGCTCGTACCTGCTGAGCGGCGCGGCACTGGCCGCCCTGCCGGCCGCCGCCACCGCCCTCTACGCCGCCGCCGCGCTGGCCGTGGCGCTGGCCGGCCTCGGCACCGGCGTCGTCATGGGCATTTACTCGGTGATGCTGATCGAGTACCTGGGTCTGGAGCGGCTGGGCTCCACGTACGGGCTGAGCGTGTGCCTGGGCGGGCTGACGCTGCTGGCCGGGCCGCCGCTGGTGGGTCTGCTGCGCCAGGCGGCGGCGAGTCCGCACCTCGTCATCTACCTGCTGGCGGCGCTGCCCTTCCTGGCCGCCGCTGTCTGGCTGCTCATGCCGCAGGCGCAGGAACACATGCGCCGGCGCGAGACGGCTGAGCGCGCCGAGCCGGTGGCCGTGTAACATCGGCAGGCGGCCGCCGGGCGGGGCTTGGCGATGGCCGTCGGGACCACGGTCGGCTGCCGTCGTCCAGCAGGCCATTTGGTTGATCAACGGATATCGAAGAGTGGTTATGTTAGATGCCTGACAACCACCCTGCGGGGATGTGCGTGGTGATGGCAGATGGCGCTACATACCCGTGCCATGGGCTCTGTGCCGAGTCATGCTGCATTGTCGTCGGTGCTGCCGGGGGAACGGAGTCACGTGGGATGTTTCAACGACACGCGGGGGACCAAATCTTTCAGTGGTGATGTACATATCATAGGACCGCCCGCCCTGCGTACGTGTTTTGTGACAGTGGGCACAAACGGGTTAGCGCGGCGTACCCTGAACCGTGTCATCCCGGCGACGCGCCTCCTGTGCACACGTGTGTCTGTGTATTTAACTGCATTTATTATCACCTTTACGGGATGCCGTGCATGCTGTGGGCGGCAGGTACAGCAGCCCGGTCACACTGCGGCCGCGCATATGCCCAGGAGGCCCCAGCGGCGCACTCCACATGTGGCGATCGTGGACCCCGGTCGCCTGGTCTACCTCACTCGCCGAACCGCGCAGGGCACCACACGCCAGATTTCCACATCCTGTCCCGGCCTGTCCGCCCCGCTCCCAAACCAGATCGTGCGATGCCGATTTATTCAAACGTTACGTTGTTCAAATACAAGCGGGCATTGTTAGCACTGGCGTTCTACCGGTTCGCGTACGACAGACTACTGGAGAGAAGCCAATGCGGAATGTTCAGTGTACATCCATACGCGGCAGATAAATCAAATATGACACGAACATTGATTACACACCTTTCGACCTTTACACATGTACATATATACACCAGCCTGACGACACGAACACCTCGCGGACCCCCGTCCCCATGACGCGACACCCTGCTGCGCGCTCAAATCACGACATAGCTAGCCTTCACTACAGGGCGCGCGGCGACCGGACCGGCCGGAGATAGCACACTGATCCGGGCTCGGCAGGCCAGGCGGGCCGCGGCCCACCCTGGCCGGCGGGGACCGGCGCTGACTGGGGGCGGGGCGGGCCGGCTGGCGCCGCAGAGTCCGTCGGCGGGCCTCTGCCAGTGGCCGGCCGCATCAGCAGGGCTCCGGAGGAGCGCGATGTCAGTCACCTAGACGGCCTGGTCGCCCATTTTCACCTGTGATACCTGCAGTCAAAAAGCGGCGTCACGCTGGAGCCAAGAATGGCGTCACGCTTTGAAGGCAGGTTCCCTGGGAAGATGCCGGCCCGGACGACCGCCCGATCCGTCGTCTCCCGGCCTCCCGGTACATTCACAGCGGTCAGTAGCAGTACAGAAGCCGTCTCTCTAGTAACAGAAACCGTCTCTCACGTAACAGTAGCCGTCTCCCGGTCCAGTTACAACAGTGGTCATCAGCAATACAGCAGCCGTCTCCCGGTCCAGTCACAGCGGTCAGTAGCAGTACAGAAGCCTCTAGTAACAGTAGCCGTCTCCCGGTCCAGTTACAACAGCGGTCATCAGCAGTACAGTAGCCGTCTCCCGGTCCAGTCACAGCCGTCAGTGGCAGTACAGAAGCCGTCCCCCGATACAGTCACAGCCGCCAGCAGCAGTACAGTAGCCGTCTCCCGGTCCAGTCATTGGGGCTTTTACGACGCACTCAGCTGTTAAGGCTATATGGCGCCTCTCACCCTCGCAGGAAGGGCGGGCACCGCGGGGAATCGAACCCCGTACCTCTGGTTTCCCAGACGCGCGGCGGTCAACGCAGACGCGTTAACCACTACGCTACCGGCACCCCTCCCAGTGCGGTCACAGCCGCCAGTAGCAGCGCAGGACCCGTCTCTCTAGTAACAGAAGGCGTCTCCAAGTCCAATCACAGCCGTCAGTAGCAGTACAGAAGCCGTCTCTAGTAACAGTAGCCATCTCGCGGTCCAGTCACAGCCGTCAGTAGCAGTACGGTAGCCACAGCCGTTAGTAGCAGTACGGAAGCCGTCGCTCTAGTAACAGCAGCCGTCTCCCAGTCCAGTCACAGCCGTCAGTAGCAGTACGGTAGCCACAGCCGTAAGTAGCAGTACGGAAGCCGTCGCTCTAGTAACAGCAGCCGTCTCCCGGTCCAGTCACAGCCGTCAGTAGCAGTACGGTAGCCATAGCCGTCAGAAGCAGTACAGTAGCCGACTCTCCAGTAACAGAAGCCATCTCCAAGTCCAGTGACATGGTCCGCCGCGTCACGTAACGCCCTCACTAAGGGCGTTATGTAACCACCTGGCTGGGTCACCCCGTCCGTCTAGCGCCGCTCGCCTTACGCGTCACTGAGACACTGCCGACGGCTCGCAGAGCTGCGTCGAGGTACCGCGCCAATATTAATGACCATATACAGCAGCACTAGCAGTCCCACGGACGCGCGTCAGCGCCATCCTACCTACTTTGGAAGGCTGCGGCCTCCAGCTATTTCATTTTGATGCTGGGCCCACCATAATGCACGGAAAATAAATGAGCTCAATCTTTCAAAACACGGGCGAATCGAGGCGCTCGTATTTGGCGGCCGCCGTCAGCGGAGGTCGTGGTTTCGGCGTCGGGCCCGGTCTCCGCACCAGGTGTGTCGGTCCGGCTGCCGGAGTCCCACCTGTAGGATGCCGACGATCAGGCCGAACAGGCCGATGGCCGAGCCGAAGATCTCCACGATCAGGATGCGGACGAAGAGCGAGGCTTCGGCGGCGTCGGCCAGCGCCGCGCCCGACCCTGCGCCCACGGTCAGCGGTCAACCTTACGGGCGCCAGAACGTTGACGCCCAACGGTGAGCCCGCGGCTGTTGACTGTTCGCGTCCACACGGGCTGGCTGCTTTCTTTGTAGCAGTCACAACGCGTGACACCCGACCCGTCCAACAGCAGGCGACGCAGCATGGCCGGGTGCGTGTGGCGTTCCCTAAACTAGAACCACTGACTTCTCCCTGAACCGTAAGAGCCGAGGCGGGTCTCCACGCTACCTCCGAGGCGCCACGGTGGCATCGCTTACCGACGGTGCCGACACAGATGCCGCAGGCTAGGTTGACGAAGCCGACGGTGACTCCCGACCAGAAGATTAGCTGAGATGAGTACAGGTTGTTCACCAGGATGTCCCCATTTTCGGCAACCTTATTCAGATTGTATTTCTAAGGGCGGAGTGGAAAACGGAGTACGGAGACGGCGGTTAGCAAAACACGGGTCAAAACCCCACAACCAATTTAAGGCCATAATCGTGCCGACGACACGCTACGCTACACACGCTACACAATAGTACTAACCGAATTCTGAGAGCCCCCGTGAGCACGGCGCTTACGAAAATGCATTGATCGGTGTCACAAAAGTGACACACTGTAATGAACTTCCGTGAGCGCATCATCAGCAGAAGCTAATCAAAGGACTGCTGTTCCGACTCCCCAGCATAGTGTTAACAGCCGCCGCTATGTGAGCGCGAACGTCGCCTTACCGAGATCATGCCCGACAGTACGATGGCCACGATCAGGCCGTAGATGGCAACGGCCTCGCAGAAGATGATGGAGACCAAGTTTTTGGTCTTGATGCGAGGTGCACGAACGCCGGCGCCCATCACGGACACGCCCGTCGTGAAGATGCCGCTGAGGGACGGAGGCGACATACCACTGTCAGCTGACAACACACGGCTGGCACGCAGGACAGACAATGGAGCGCCGAGACGACGCTAATCCCTATGATTAAACACAGCACGAGAAGTTGTGGTGATGAAGCTGATTATTGCGATTACAAACAGCACGAGGGGCCTTGGTTGTGAAGCTGATCCTTATGATAAAAGTACCTGGAACACTGCTGGACCACTTTAAATGCCTTCACCACGAATATTCTAGGCACTCATAAATTTTCCCTTATCATCCCACCAATCTGCTCTTGCTCTAAAGCACCGATGTTCTAAAACATCGCCGCTGCCGCCGAACACTTTATGACGCAGATGAATGAAATAGTCTACCGATACACCGTCCACAAAGCTCAAGCAGCCAGAGTACAACCGGCAGTGATAGCAGTGCCTTTTACTGCTGCTGAGAATGGTCAAATGTTAAAACTTAAGTCCATTCCAGCTGCTATAATGCTGCTGGCCGGGTCGCTGCCGCAGTGCAGGACCATCGGTTGTCGGGTCACGGGTCACACTCACAGGGCGCCACCGACCACCGACAGCGACACCGCCAGGCCCACGCCGGTGGCCGCCCACATGTACGGCGACGTGTTGGTCAGGAACCTGCGGCAGCGGTTAACACCGGGTCAGCCGCCGTACGAGTGGGCAACGAAGCGGGTGACCGGGCGGGCTGATATGCCACAAGACAGCTGATGGTCAAGTTGATGTGGTCATGGCAATCCAGAAGCACAACAGCGCCGCATGTAGCCGTTAGAAGAGGCACAGCGCGAGATAATGCAAGTCAGTACGTGACAATGGCACAGTTAATGATCTGCTGCATTTAAATCGCAACCAGTACGGGTAAAGCCGTTTCTGAAAGAACTGACTTACCATCCAAAGTCAATTCGCTCGCCTTGGCCGGTGAGGGTGTAGTATAATGCTGAAAGCACATACAACAGAATGGTTAGCACCACTTCCCTTGGCACTAGGAGAATTTAAAAAAACACATCATATTAGGAAAAACATGTGGGTAAGCACCTGCAAACTGGCATGAGCCAGCACACACAAATGCACATCCTCATCAGCATCAATCCATGTTGAGTGATTTCAATCACCGATGTCAGATACCAACAACTGGAGCAGACAAAGATTTGAAAGGCACTGCATGGTGCATCCAAAAGTAACAGCTACAGCCCATAACAGATCATAAAGCCATTAGACCCATGGTCTGCCAGTAATAATTGACGAGGAAGCATCAAATGCCACCTTCCTTGAAACTGATCCTAAATAAAAGATGCTGTGGATCAAGCCAAGAGAGTAAGGCACAAGAGGGCATATAGGGCACAGGCACATAGTTTTGCTCTGTGCAAGCAGCATCCACATTAAATATTAGTTTTTGTTATGTTTTGGTCACAATCACAGATTTGTTGGTGTTGCTGATTAAAATCAAGCCTGACACTCAATCAGTGTCAGCTAATTTACAAACAATATTTGTGAATCAGCACATGAATGCTTCATCCATAGACTGTGCTGGTCAAATTGTCATGGAAAGTACTTTCTAGTCCACTGATCACACCCACAGGCCTGGGTTACTGAAGGCATTTGAATCCATCAAGTTTGATTTTGGCATGAAGACGAGAAACCTGACAACCCAATCAGCTGGTGTCACTTGTTCCTGCTGCACACAAAGTCTGACTGGTGATGCAATGCTGCTGAAAAAACCTGCCTGATCGAACAACCTAGTTGTCTCTGTCTTGCAATCTGCAAATGGCAATTTTTGAAGGACTTAACTTCTTGCCATTGAAAACAGCATGAATCTGTGATCAGTTGTAGCATGCGTACAAACTTCCAGAAATCATAACACCTGTGACAGGCTACACCATACTAGGGTGCCAATCCAAACACTTCCTCAGAGTTCAAACAAGACTAGAAAAACCTGCCACCGCTCGCAACAAACCTGTCTAACGGGTCATCACCACTGAGGTGAGCCTGCATCACATCAAACTCATCATGCTGATCACACTCATTTACACTTCAGAAAATAAAAGATAAGCTGTATGACTAAGCCAAATCATTGAAATAATATGATTACCCTCATCCAAACATGTGCCTGGGTCCCAAGGCTGGACCAGGATTGCATCAGGTTCCCTGTTAATGGGATCCTGGGTTAAGGCTGCAAGCACATGTCTGAGTTCATGCCATATGTACATACCAATGACAATAAGAATAAAGAGGGACAGCCCCTTATATGTCTGCCTTCATGTAGTGTGGACTTACCAATGACAATAAGCACAAAGAGGTACAGCCCTCCTGCGGAGTACAGATAGCCTCCATAGTATGCCATCCTGCCTTCTGGGTGGTTTGCTGTTGGAAGACCACACAAAAATCATCACCTTGTACAGAACAGCTATGTGGGCATAGCATAACAAAGCTCCCATAAGACAATGCCTGAAATATAAAACCAGTTACAGATCCTCGCTGCATTACATCCCCCTCATCTGTGACAGCATTGTTGGTATGTGTTCCAAGACAGTGCTTGTTAAAGGTAACACATTGATAGTCCACAGACATGCATGTGCTGCATATATGCAGAACATGCACATATCTGTAATGATTTTATGATTAAGTGCAAAATCACTATCCATCAGTGAGCCTTAAAACCCCACTTATCATCATCATATCTTAATGTATATTTCTGAATTATCAAAAATCACTTGAGAAACATCAGTACATTTACTTATTGAGACATGTTCATATAGTTTGACATATTCAAATAAAAGTTTGTTTCAAAGATGGGTAGATGTGAATAAAGCTTTAGGCACTTTTAGAATAAAACTAAATGTGTGACAAGAGTACTTTAGAGCACACCTCACCCAAGACAGCAAAAATAAAATAAAATCCATACTTGCATTATATTTCTTCCACATATCATGATGAATTTATGTTCAATAAATCTATATCTAAGCATAATCTGTTTTAAACATGAACAGAACATTATTGAGTAGCAGCACATCCAGGTAGCAGCACTACGGACCTTGCCTCCCCTTACCAAATGTGTATGTGCACTAATATGCATACACAAGTACTGTTAATGACTAAAAAATAAGGCATACAAACAAAAAAGTAGATTGAAAACATGTGATAGTGTTACATGCCAAGCAATCACTTTGATGTGCCAATGGCCCACACAAATGGGCTTTCAGCACAAATTTGGAGTTGTGCCCTTTCTAATGTGAAATACTGCACAAACTCCTGATCATGGTTAACACAATAAACAGGGATTAGATAGGGTATAGCAAATATACATGGAGCACTCTCTGTCCCCCTGTTCAGCAGGGGACAATGGGTTATAGGGATGTAAGGTAAAACTTGAAACACTGATGGGACATATATAAAATATAGGGGACTGGACCAGTAATGCTACATGTATATATATATATATATATATATATATATATATTACATAATACCTATACATTGATATTACTGGGTTATAAAAATATGACATGCATCACATACTTATATGATAATGATAAGTCAGATAAGATGAAGACATATGGTGCTTTGGTGAGATAAGGTCAAGATACAGGTAGAGAAGTAGGGTTAGGAGAAGAGCAGTGCTAAGCATAAGAGTAGGGGTGGTGGCAAAGCTATGGTAGAGGTAGACAGAGTTACAAGGATAGAGGTAAGGGTATGGTTAGCAGCAGCATTAGGGTTCAGTTCAGTTACTTGGCCTGGTCTATCTTGTTTGGTTTGGTTACAGCCTGGTCTAGTGCACTGAGTTAGCACATGTTGGTCAGCACTGTGGATCAACATGTGGTGCAAGAAATTGGAACAAGTTGATTTCTTTTTACTCAATTATGTTAAGTCATATCATGCATGACCTCATCATTGCAACATTTTCCAGCAGCCAAATAGATTGCCAGAGGCTGGTCTGGTCTTCAAGTCATCTACACAGATGGGCAGCCAGGCATGGTGGCACCCAGCAGTGTCAGTTATGATGAAACAAAAAGGGATAAACATCATCACATAATGAGCATATCAGAGGCAAGCCAATATAACCATACTAAATAAGTCAATAAACCCTTTCAATCTGACTGGTAGGTACAATCTTCAATCACCAAATGTCATTGGTCCTCATATTTGCACTAACAGTGAGACTTATATCTGATGCATGCTCATTAGGTACCACAGCCTCTAGCCCAGAATTCAATAGATGGCTTCATGACAATGCAAGTAACAGTTTCCAACCACTTAGGAATGGGTTTCAAGTACGTATTATTGCTCAGATTCATCATTACATGACAAGCAGAACAACATGAGTGAGAGCCAGAAGTCACACCGAAATGAGTAGCTTCAGATCGTGTGGAATCACAGATGCAAAAGCCCACTTCGCTCATAGGTAACCTACCATGGGGGACAGGTAAGGGAACAGAACGTGTAATCGCTGCTCCCAAATCCCAGCAATATTTAACGTTGATCCTGTCACGGAGTATGCATAGAAACGAGGTTGAATCACGTTTACCATCCAACACCCTCTCCCTGGTCACAGCTGTAGCGAATATTCAGTAGCTGCCCATCGGGAGTACCCACGGGGGCCGACAGCCATTATATGAAAGAGTAGCACGTACCTTAAAGATATAGCGGGTCCCCAAAAATACGGGAATTTCCGTTCGCCCGGCGTACTCCCCCACTCACCCAAGCCCAGCACCCACAGCGCCTTGCGCCCGCTTGGCCCGTGATGAAACTAGGCTGATAGTATGCTACTAGATTTGGAAGGAAATCAATTTTCACAAGGTTCCATTGATACATTTAGTGATAAATGTACCCACTACCACGCCTTTCAAGTCACTCCACTTGATACGCCAATATTCTAATAATCATAAATTCGACTAATGGTTCTTACACCTGGGTATATGTCTGATTATTTTGCACAGCCATCACGCGAGATAAAACGGCTAGATTTTTGAAGCAATGCATCTTATGACTCTGGACCAGTTCGTTCAATAGCCAATACCTCATGTTGAAATTAGAAGCTCTTTCTACCTTTCAGTGTGGTGTAAACATGCTTTCACGGAGAGGATATCTGTAATGATCGATGAAAAAGTACCATACAATAATACATTCTCATTGGTAGTGTAATGTTTTAGAATTTTTCGCGGAACATTCATAACGAACTTATTTAATATGGCAGTGTATGTGGCGCCATTGTGACGTTTATGCTACTTTATTCACATCTGAGTGATGTTGATGTCAACGTTGGCATACCAGCTCTTGCACACGGCCTTGTACGGGCAGGGTCACGAATGAGTGGTGCGCGCCTGTGTTGTTGTCAAAACCTTTTCGGGCGCCTGCGCAAGTGCGGAACAGTCTGGTCGCATTTCATTTGGCCATAATTTGTTGTTTGTTAGGGCGAGTGAGTAGTAAGTAGATATCACACCAGAGATCCAGACTGTGAAAGATACGCGTTGCGCAGAATCTGTCTGGCGTTGCAATGACGTCGTGACAAAAAATTCAGTGTATGCTCGCCTTAAATCTGATCGTCGAGGAGTTGATCGCACGGTCAGCACCAATTTCTGCTTGAAGAGAGCCAATGTTGTCCAGACTTCTGATGTTTTGAATGTAACTTGAGGTAAACATGCCTTTGAAAAATTTTAGCATCAAAATAGTTTAAAAATTTTGTGTCAAAAGTTATGTGTGAGTTAGCTTGACCTGAGTTCCAAGCACAAGGTTTGTCATGCCTTTTCTGAAGGCATCCAATGTGGTGGATGGATTTTGCAGACTGGCTTATCAGTAGCTAACAGTGGATCCAACCAGCCTGCAGGGGGGGAGGGCAGGCAGGCCAGGCATGGAGATATTTTGGTCAGATCTGATCTAGCACCAGCCATTAGAGAGCCACCAACTTCTCTGCTCAGGCAGGGGCAAATGATTTCATGGGCAGGAGTCTCCAAGATTTTCCTGATGATCTCATTTGCACCTGCTGGCTACTAATTACTCATGCTCCTGTGTTAACATGGGCCAGAATTGCACTGAATATACCATGAAACATTTTGCACTGCCATCCAGTGTTTGTACGCTATGTTTGCAAATTCACAGATATGAAAAGATGGAGCAAACATTTTTTTGTAATGCACACATTAAAAGCTCCTGGCTTTTAGAGCTGCCACAGTGACTACTTGCTTACCTGGTGTGGAGTTCTTTGTGGCTAGCTTACCTGTTCAGTGCAAGCCACAGAAGCTCTGTAGAGCTCTGTAAGTAAAAAGTCTTGTTCCTTTAAGCTGCAAAAGCTATGATAAGGCAACCATTCTGTGATTGAGAAATGGTACACATTTTGTCCTTGGTTTGTCCTTGCCTTTTAAATAGATACTCTAAATAGATACTTTTAAATAGATACCTAATAAATAGATAAATAGATGCTTAAATAGATACACCTTTGTTTGCTATGCACTGCATTGTATTTTCCAGTTTTGCCCAATCTGTGTCATAGTTTGATACCTGCTCTAAGGTACCATGAACCACCTTAAATAATGCAAACCATCTTACTCAGAAATTCCTGCTAAAAACTTACCAAATCTGCCTTGAATAAAGATTATTTCCCTCCCCTCCTCCCCCCCCCCAGACCCCATCATAGCATAACTCAAGAATGCTTCCTGAAACACTGTTAATATAAAACTAAGTTAACTTCAGTGCCTTTTCATCTGGCCTGAGTTTGGCACTTGCAGTTCTAAATGCACCAATGTTGCATAGACACCCAGTGCAGTGGATGGATTTTTTTCTAGATTGGATTCCAGTTTTATGAGATCTCTGAGTATCTTAATGTATAGTCATAAATAGGTGTAGACAGATGATCATGTGGCAGATGGAGCCCAAGCTAGATGTTAAAGAATGAGGTTGCACAGAGCTTGTTGCATCAGCCCTGACCCTACAATTTAGTTACAAGATACCTGTCCAAAGGCAGGATTCTGTGGCAAGTGCTGCAGAATCGTGCCTCAAGTGCCGCAGAATCCTGCCTTTTTTCTGTCTGCCACTTCCGTGGCCTTGGGGGAAGATGCTGGACTCCTAATCCAGCGGCACTGGGGCGAGTCCCAGAGTGGGCGCATTGTCTGACCCCACTGAAATGGAAAGGTCAGCTGCCAACTGGCCAGCGTCAACTCAGACGGAGGCGGCCGTGTCGGCCGTGTCGCAGCATTGTGCGGCACTAAAACCCTCTACATTCCTGTCTGGCGAAAGGACGGAGGCAAAATTAGCTGTTGGACTGGATGGCACGCTTGGGTGGTGGGTTCAGGGTACACGCAACAAGCTATGCTTAGCAGGTACTCTGAATGTGAAGTCACCCATACAAACCATTTGGGATAGATTTATAAAAAAGTGTCATGTCACAATGCTCAGCACTGTTTGCCCACTCCCTACCCTCAGCCCAGTCCCATCCCCAGCCCCATCCCCATCCCCATCCCCATCCCCATCCCCAGCCCCAGCCCCAGCCCCAGCCCCAGCCCCAGCCCCAGCCCTAGACCCAGTCCCATCCCCATCCCCAGCCCCAGTCCCAGTCTGTCCCAGTCCCAGTCCCAGTCTCAGTCCCAGTCCCAGTCCCACTCTTTACCCTCAGCCCAGCCCCATTTCCAGCCCTAGTCCCAGTCCCAGTCCCAGTCCTAGTCCCAGTCCCAGTCCCAGTCCCAGTCCCAATCCCAGTCCCAGTCCCAATCCCAGTCCCAATCCCAGTCCCAGTTCCAGCCCCAGTCCTTTTGAAAAGCCTTGAACATACCTCTGTGCAATTTAGAAGTCAATATCTGTTGATCTCCACATATCATGCTTTCTGTCTATCACGCGATGGATCACAGGCAGCCTGTTTCAAAGTGTTATGGAATAGGGATGTTGAGTGTCAGAAGACATTGTCCAAAGAGACCCAATGTGGCAAATCTGAAAAACCATTCAGCCTTACAGAAATTTAACTGAATCTTGCAATAGGACCCCAGCTTTTGCATACCTGCAGCCTAAGCTCTTCATCCTGGCAGGTAGCAATGAAACCCATGATGTGCATGCATTTGCACATGCCCAAATACTAAGCTGATGGTAATAGGTCAGGGCATGAGAAGCTTGGCGCACCGAGAGCTTGTGGACTACGCAGCCTATGAAACAAGGGACAAGTATGCTGTGATGCCTCAGTGTACTTACTCGTTGAGGGAAGATGGAGGAAATGTACTAAAGGCTTCCCTCCCCATCTCTCAATGGAAGGAAAATAACAGTACTGTCTTTGGGCTTGTTTTTCATGCTTAGTCATTGGAGACAATGATTCCATCCACAATTCCACGCACACACACACACACATACACACACTCCCAATGCAGTGGGAATGTCCCAAAAAGGCATGCCGAGACATTGTATGTGCATTGCCATGTAAGTGTAATGTGCGTTGCCATGTGAGCGGACGAGGCTAGTACGGCACGCTCCAGCTCAATACTTACATTTGATTGGCTTGGTTTTCAGAGGCATGGCTCACGCCCAAGAGGAACAGTTTGACTTTTTGTTCAAAGTGGTTTTGATCGGTGACTGTGGCGTCGGGAAGACCTGTCTTGTTACTCGCTTCAAGTCGGGACATTTTGTGGAACGGCATGCCAGCACTATCGGGGTCGACTTTTCAATGAAGACTATCGTGGTAGATAACAAAAAAGTAAAGGTAAGGGTTTTTTTCTCAAAACTGCTGTTAGGAATGTACGATGCGCGTACAAAGAATCATTTTACTCATCCATGGTTGTAACTGTGCGAACCCTGTGACAGTAGACTATGATTGAGTGATGTGCTGGAGCTAGTTGAGGCCAATGTCTTCTAGGCAATGCGTTGCAACTCTGCAGTACCGTGCTTGCTTAATCGCTATTACACCTTCGCTTTTACCTTGTGTAGTCTCTGCATTGTACCACTTTGTTACAAGTGTGTACAGTCGGTTAAGTGTCTTGTTCCCTTTTGATAGCTTCAGATTTGGGACACAGCTGGCCAAGAGAGGTTCCGGACGATTACCCAGAGTTACTACAGATCGGCCCACGGAGTTATAATTGGCAAGTATTGACAACATATCACCATCTGATTTGGTGTGTGCGATAACAATAGTTGATAGATCTCAGAGCTCAGGACAATGCCTCCCCTGTCTAGCTTACAACTGCACCTCACATTTTCCCACCACGTACCTCACCTGCCGCGTTAGATGCTCCCTGTACATGTCTTTCCAAATTATGTTTTGTATTATGTTGTTAAGTCGTAATTCAGGTCAACTTATGCTTAAATGGAGAGATAGGCTGCTGACGTGGTAGGGGTTCAGTTGTTTTTGTTTTGGCAATTTACGATCCGCAGAAACGCTCGGCGATACCCGAGCTCTTTCACAGTAAACTTGATCAATTATGTCACATAGGAATATCGTCGATTTTCAGTCATTTCCGAATAAAGCGATTTATTAAAAAGTATTATTATTCTGTCAAGGGTGTTTCCATCGCTTTTTATCCCCACCTGTCGTGAAAAATCTGTCTTACATTCAAATAACAAGAAAAAGGCGCGGAACGGCCACCTCAACTGACCGCAGGTCCAGGGTAGAGACACTACTCTTTAGAGACACTCCAATAGGTCCAAGTTTGAGACCCTACTGTAAGCACACAGCGATTTCAGAAAATGTGTTGTCACACTCACTCTCTAAATATGTTGTCACTGAAACCCACGTATGCGCACTGTTCGAATGCTGCTTTCAAGACGACATTGAAACGTATGACATTAAATAACAGGGCTTTCAGTGTTTGTGAAGATGCCCTGTGTTGCAGAGGTGCGTTAGGTGTGCCCCTGCCATGGTTCAACCGATGGCATTGTAAATGATCGCCATCATCTTTCGCTGGAACTGCAGGGTGCGTGTATGCAGGATCGTGTGATGGTGCCGGAGGGGAGTGCCGGGGTAATTAAGTGGACATTTCTGAATGGTCAAGTGGCAGTGATGCCAGCTCATATTTTCTTGCATGAAAACAGTTCGGGTTTTGAAAGGGAATCAGAACGAGGTCATCGATTCATGATCTAGGTTGACAGAAACTGACAGATATTCTCAGCACGAAGTGAAGGTGAAAAACAAAAGGGTGCAGAAAATAGATGCTTGTTTTTCTCTTCCCCGGTCTCAAAAAGTTGGATGGGATAGGGCTAGAGGAGTAGGCGTTGGCCTGGCATCCTATTTTCATGTTTTGGCAAGGGTTAGATCCCAGACGCTGCATATTCCTGCTGACATAGTCCTGTCGCTGGCCTGCAGTTTGAGCTGCTGCGATGTTAGCAAGCACTGAAGCCTCACGCGTTGGTGGACTGTATGATTTCGGCGCTCGCCGTTCCGTCCCGCACGCTAGTTGGGAGCCCCGCCCACGTGTGCCGCTGTGGTGGGTGCTGGCCGGCGTCGGTTCTGACCCCGGCCCCGCTGCGCAGTGTACGACGTGACGAAGCGGTCGTCGTTCACGAGCGTGCGCCGCTGGATGGACGAGGTGCGCCGCTACACCACGCCCAACGTGGCCGTCGTGCTGCTCGGTGAGCTGGGCGGCCGGCGGCCGGCGGGACGCAGGCCGGTGCATGGACAGTGCGCGCGGAACCCGATGTGGACGGGGATCAGGCTCTTGGGCTGTATTGTTTGTTAGGCATGGCAATTGAGCGATGCTACGACGGCGTATGCCATCACATACAAGGTATGGTGCCTACATCACGTGCTAGTTGGCACCAGTTGCTTATCATGGCAATTTGAGTGGCGTCCAGCCTGGTGTAGTGTGCGTGCCGCTGTTGTCTCAGCTGCCGCCGACCCGGCACAGTCCGCCGCTGCCAGCTCCATCGGGAGGTTTGCTCGCCTGTGCTTTACGATGGCATACAGGAGGAGGCTTATATGAGACTCGCCTGTGGCATAGCTCATCCGCGGTTTGACGTGCCCTTGCTTTGACGTTGGCAGGCAACAAGTGCGACATGGAGAAGGATGTGCGGAGCGAGGAGACGGAGGCGCTGATGGACAGCTATCCGGAGATATTCGCCTTCATCGAGACGTCGGCGAAGGAGAACCGCAAGATCGACGAGCCGTTCCTGCGGCTGGCCAAGGTCCTGGTGGTAAGTGCTCGGACGGCGGCTGGCGCCCCCCCCCCCCCCCCTCCCCCCGCGGCGGCGCGCCTCTTGCCGCCGCGGTGCTGCTCGAGAGGGGAACGCCGCGGCCGACTGCTGCACGTGCTGGCACTCAGCGGACGCGGACACCTGCCACGTGACTGTGGTCGTCACTCGCCCGTTGGGACGCAGGGCACGGTTTTTGTGCGTACTTGTACGCTGTGTGTAGGCCACTGAGCGTTTGACGCAGCAGTGACGGGACGGTGCTAGTGTCTGTTTCGCACTGGTTGGCATTGCTTTAGTTCTGCGGCAGACGGTCGTCCTGTGCCGCCAACCCACAGTGCCGATGGCGGTGACACTTGCTCCCACCACTCGTGTTTGTGACTGTGGGCCTGCCACGGGGCTGCTCTCCCAGTCCGTAGACCAAGGCGCTGCGGATCCCTGCGTATGGCCGTTCATTGGTCGGAGCGTTTTGGGCTGCCGACGGTCGCTTGTCAATGGGCCCGCCATTGCAGGATCGCGACAGTCGTGACCAGCTGTCGCCGTACTACGTGAGTGTGTGCCGGGGTCGGTGTTTGTGTTCGTTGGCTGTGGTCAGTGACGTCACACGTGGGTGATTTGCGGGCCGCCGTGGGGGTGCGGTCACTGGATGCGGAGCAGTCAAACCCCTGAGCAAAGCTTTAAAGCTGGTTCGGCCTCGTAACGCGAGGCATGAAGTAAATACTCAGGTTTTGTTAGCAAGGAAGAAGAGCCTTTCGCATTTGCTTTTAAAACCGCTGTAGCGACATGGTGGGCATCTGCTGCAGGGCTCAGATGCCTTTCGCTCACGTGTCGTTATGAATGGTGGTCAATTAGCCAACCATGAATTCTTGGGAATAATCCCTTTCTGTTTCAATGGTCGTGCCAGCATACGCTACGCCAGCACTCGTGGGGGCGTGGCGGTCGGGTGGCTGGCGTCTTGGGTTCCCACGCGGGGTCTTGCGTTCGAGTCTCGGTTCTGTCGTGGGTCGGAGCACTAATTGGACATCTCAGTCGCCACCGCCAAAAAATGCCACGACGTGGCCGTGTTCCCCCTGAAAAGCGCGTGTCCTGAACAGGTGACTTGGTCCGAGTCCGCACAGTTCGCAGTCTCGTGCTGTCGTCTCTTCTGCTGCATCTCTCACTGCGAGTTTTCACGTTGGCTTGGCTGCGCACTTTTGGGACTCTGTGGCCGTGATGCTATCTGACCAGGGCTGGAGCTTCAGACCACACCGCTGCATTTCCTGCGATGCGTTGTACTCTGAAACGGACCTTTCCTATCGCTGTATCCGTTAGAGCGTTCCCTTGGTAGCCTCAGCGCAGCGGACTGCTCTGCGCTGTCTGGCTGCTCACCGGACCTGCGTTGGGCTAGCGTGGACCGTCATCTGCTGGGGGCAGCGGCGGATCCAGAGGGCATTGAGACGTGCCCCCCCCCCCCTCCCCGGACCGGAGGGGTGCCAAAGTCCTTCGGGGTCCGTACAACCTTTATTTTCAAGACGCGCTTAAGTTCAGGGGCATCACAAACGGCTCCAAATCTTCAAGTTCAACATGCAAGTTGCATGTTGAACTTGAAGATGGTGATGATGCAACCTAACCTCTAGAAATAAATTGCGGACCATTCCGGTGGGAGACATTGTACCGATGACGAAATGAAAATCTGAAGCTTACGTGCCCGGCATCTTGGACTTTTTGTGTGTGTATGGGGGGGGGGGCAAGTTTCTGGGGCACCAGAATGAAGTGTGGACCCTCCCTGGATGAATTCCTGGGTCCGCCCCTGGCTGGGGGTCGCGTTCACAGCTAGAGCGGCCGCTTCTCTCGGTGCGGCCGCCGTGCGCCCTGCACCTGGGAGTGAATGTGAGTGACACCGGCGTCCCTCCACCAGAGTCAAACCCAGTTCCCGGAGCCGCTGCCATCGACGGCCGAGCCCATCCGGATCGAGGCCGGCCGGCCGGTGGGCGGCGCCGCCTGCTGCCCCCGGTAGGAGCGCGTCGTCTGGCGAGCACGGCGGCCGCCGCGGGCGAGCCGGCTCCGCTGGCGGCGCGCGGCCCGCACGCGTCCGCCACATCGGCGGCACCACTGTCCCGCCCCACGGCCGTTCGCTGTGGAGTGGCCCCTGCTCTGTGGCGGCCGGCCCCCGCCGACGGATCAGCCGCTGCTGTCCGCGAGGCGCCGTCGCTCGCGGCACACCGACCTCTACCACCTGCGCCGCCGCTCTCGGTACACCGACCTCTACCACATGCGCCGCCGCTCTCGGTACACCGACCTCTACCACCTGCGCCGCCGCTCTCGGTACACCGACCTCTACCACCTGCGCCGCCGCTCTCGGTACACCGACCTCTACCACCTGCGCCGCCGCTCTCGGTACACCGACCTCTACCACCTGCGCCGCCGCTCTCGGCACACCGACCTCTACCACCTGCGTCGGGCGGCCGCCGCCTTCAGAGCGATCCCAGCGGCGAGGAGTGGTGTGTGCCATCCGATCTGGCCGGGCAGAGACGAGCCGCCGCCCAGACTGAACTAGCATCACTTCGCGGCGGCCACTGACAGCAGCCTCGCCGCAGGTTCTGCGTCACCCTAGACCCTCAGCGCGCGCTGAGGATATCGCTGCTCCTGCGTTGTGATGGATATCCATGGGAGTGCGTGACGGTATTTGCCGTGGCCGGCAACCAGGCGGGACGAAGAGGCCGGAATGTCTGGAGACCGCTCTGGTATTTTTGTACATTTCCGGGCTGATCTCGATGGGACACGGTGTGTGCGATAGCACGCTTCAAGGTGAACTGACTTAACATTTCTGTCTGTGATTATGAAGTGGGACATTGCTAGAAACCGTAGCCACTGCTGGGCAATGGTGAGCCTCCTTGGGGGGGGGGGGGGGGGCTTTCGCATAACGTTACAGGTGGTCATCTGTCTGTTGGGCCGGCCGGACTGGGTTTACACTTGTATGATTTGCTTGGTTGCAGTGCTTATGGCCAGTGACTACGGAGAGCGACAGGTTCCTGGACCAGCTTTACATATTTACGTTGCTAATGCCAGCTTTACATATTTACGTTACGAGCGTATTGTATTTGTCGTGCGAAGATACTGCCGTGTTGTATGATATGTGTGTATGGTTGTATTGGACGTCACCGGGTGTGAGTCCCTCGTGCATAGTGTGGGCGTGTGCATCAGACGCCCTCCGCTCGGCCTGTGCACTGCCAACCACCGCCAACCATCGCCAACCATCGCCAACCATCGCCAACCGGCCGCGAAGGTCGCGTTATTCACACCTGTGTTGGCTAGTCTGAGGGAAGACGATGGTGGCAATTCTGGGAGCTTTCCACGTCTGGAACGAAGCCCGGCAAGATGCGTTTACGTAATATTTCGACATTTTTGGCAGGCATGTAGAGTGGGTTTGACATGACTCCAGCACCCGCCGTCACGCAGCGTCCTGACCAATGGCAGCTGCCGTGACGCCGCTGTGACGTGCGCCGGCCGCGGGCGGGCCGTCGTCGCCTCGCTCGCTCCGGTGATTCGGCCCATTGGGGTGTCGTGAAGCGCAGGCACCCCGGCGTGGATTGGGCCGGACCGCGCCGTGGCTGTAATGGCATGCGCTGCTGGTTTTTGTCGTGGCGTCGGCTCGCGGCGGGGTTTTCCCCGCTGCCTCCAGTGATGCGGCGGACCCACATGCGCGGCGCTGTTGGCGACCGGGTGTCGCTCTGTCCCGGGCCAGGCTCCTGCCGCTCGAGGTGCCTGAGGCGAATTTGCCTGATGGTAGCGTCATTGGCATTGGCACAGGCCCCAGCTTGTGTCGTCTTGCCATGGTGTGATCACTACGCGGTGTGGTATATTTATTACACTGTCTGGTCTCGTCAATACATGGGCATGCCAACAGACGTCTGGACGCTCAAGGCGATCAGTGTATGTATGCAATGACAACTCATTAGCCGTGCAGCGGTCAATCAGGTCATGTACTTCAGCAGGGATGATTGTATTATCCATAGATAGCACGTGCTTCCTACAAAAATCCACTCATCGCGTGGAAATTACAACAAACGCGGGAATAAGCAACACAAGAGCAATCAAGCAATAACAAACGAGCCAAAGAAATGTCATCCGGTCATAAAGGACCCCTAATTACATAAGCGCTCAACATCCAATGCATTTTCCATCTTTATGCAGAACACAGACCGGCCAAAGCGACTAAGATCTTTATATCATCCAGCGTCTGTGCCGAATATTCTGAGGCCGCGCTCAGGACCGTGCAACCCGAAACACGTCCCGACCGACTCCCTAAACATTCACGATCGACTCGCTGTCGACCCCATGGGTAGTTTTGGCGAGACCGGTGGCCGCGCATGGGTGGCTCGCGCTGCGTGAGGCTAGTATGTGAAAACGTCACTCACACACACTTAGCTCCAAGCATCGATGGCACATGCCGCATACTGCTGCTTCTATCCCTGCCATTTATGCAGTTTGGTTTCCTTGCGCTTCCTGATTGCCACAGATTAGTCACTGTTTACAAGTTACCAGTTCACGTTCCATGTGGCCCTCCGCGGGCGATTATGCCCTGCAAATGCCTGTGGCTCGCCGACTAGCTCCACTCGGTGGCGGCTAGGGTATGTTGAACGCCGGCTGACCCGGAGCCGCCTCCGTTTTCTGCCTCCCGTGGGCGGAGTCCATGATGTTGTTCCGCCTGGCGTGAAAGGAGTCCGCATTACGGGACGGTCGCACACCGTCGGGGAGCTGCGCACCATCGGGATAGCCGCACACCGTCGTGAAAACCGCTTACCATCGGAAATAAACACACCGTCGGGAAGTCGCGTACCATCGGGGTAGCCACACTGTAGGGATAGCCGCACACCGTCGGGATAGCCGCGCCGTATCCTATGAGCAACCCTGTGGCGACGTCATCGCGGAGAAAAGCGATGAGCCTTAGCGTAGTAAGCAGAGCTTATACAAACAAAAACTATTTTCTCAGACGGGGTTTTTGGCTGTGTAGTAGAATCAAAGACAGCTAGAAGGCTAGCGGCACGCCGGGAAACGATACGCACTCTTAGAGCTCTTAGCAAACTCTGGCTTGTGATGCACGTTGTCCTCTGCCGCGAACGACGTGCGGCCGTCCGAATGTGACGCTCTGTGTGCATATAGCGCTGTGACTATGCATACCCGGCTGCCACGTTATAGGTGGTATTAATGCATGTCTTCGGTTGCGAAGCCCATCCAGCTACTTTTTACACCTCCCTCAAAGCTGCCTGTCGATGATAACGCAACTTAAGCCGGCTATGTGGCAAAATGACTATGGACATTGAAAATTCAACTTCACGCTCACGCATCAGGTTTCTGAACCACATAATCTCGTTGTTAGAATTCTGCGCGGCGCAGTTCGGGAAATCCATTATTTCCGCGCAGCACGATACGCTTTGGTATGGTGCTGAACACTGTTTTTTACCCCACGAATGTGGGTGCTTTAATCCGCTAAATAACGGGCCCCATTGATGCTATGTAAACCGCTTCAGGCAATCACGTGCAGCGTCATGACATAACAGCGCACGACCAAGAACTAACACATGCATGCCCATGTCGATGCTGCATATCCTTGCGATGTTTTATACACGGGTGGCGTGCTCACAACCCAAGAAATGCGTAACAAATCAGCAGGCAGATCTTTTGCCCCACACGGTACGCCTATCGACCCTAGTTCACGGAGGCGTCCTTGTTTGACGCCGCCAACCACCACCGTTGATTGGTAACGGCGTGACGCGTGACGCGAGGCTTTGCTGGTCACGGGCAACACCTCTAAGGCGTTTGACAACGTCGAGGATGGCTCGGCCCCCTCCCGCAGAAGCTGGGGTAGTACGGGGTCGACAAGTGGAAAGGCTGCTCTAGAGAACAGCAATTTCTCTGTTTAGTGAATATACTCCTCCACAGGTCATTGTTTGATTACCTTATTGCACCTTGCACAACATCAATTAAGAGTCAATTGACGCCCGCTGTATCTGGAAGTCGGCTCACGAATGCCAGACATAAACGACTCGACAGTGATATTTTTCTTGGTCTTAATGGCCGCATTACCAATGGAATGGCGCTGTGAGCTGCACCGGACGATTTAGCTATTCCAGTCCAAAACCTCATACAATTGAACGGCGTTCCCTTTAAGATGAACCTGTCGAAGGCTAAAATACCGACTCTTGAAACACAAATTAACCTCTCTGTGCTGTTCGAAAGTTCTGAAATAACCCTAGTTCAGTCGGTCGAGGTACCGTGGTTTACGGTTGATGATGTCTGTATTTGAGACACGCACGACGATGCGCGTATGCTATTGTACATTAATGGGACTAGCGAGAATGCGACGCCGCAGTTACTGGCAGAGGCTTTTGTGGTGCCCCGCATCAAATGCTGCATGTGTGTTGCGGAGGCCGACCATTTTGCAGCTGAGGTGGCCGCAGAAACGTATAAACTTTTGGCGCTCTCATCGTCACAGACCAGGGACACCGTAATAGCGTGATTGAGACACCGATCGGTGCCCGCATCGTCACGGACCATGGATACCGCAATAGAGTGACTGGGACACCGATCGGTGCCCGCATCATCATGGACCATGGACACCGCAATAGAGTGACTGGGATACCGATCGGTGCCCGCATCGTCACGGACCATGGATATCGTAAAAGAGTGGCTTGACACTGATCAAACTCGTATAGCTCCCAATGGAAAAGCTGCTCGCAGGGTGTGGCCTGCCAACCATGTGTGAATTAAGGTACGTCGACATGTCACACATGTCACATGTCACACATAAGGTATGTCCCCGGGATGGTCCTTCGGTCTCTCAACAGTTGTTCCGATGCGCCCTGCTTTTACACAATGCCAACCCAAAACCATCCACTGTGAGTCTCAAGCATGGAGACTGAGTTTGACTGGTAGTTTTTAGTCGCGCATCACTAGCGTGGAACGGTCAGCCCATAAAAGCCACAAGCTCGTCTAGCTCAGTCGTTTTTAGGATCAGAATGGAAGAAAACCAATATGTGTCACGCAGATGCGCGTCTCGGCGGGCAAGGCGTATTTTTAGGACATGGTGCATTTGCATGTGTCACGTACTTTTACACATACCACTGACAAGGAACTCTGCAAAGCATGCTATGAATGTTTCTGAAATATAGTATTGATTTATTGACCATCAAGGGCTCAAAATTCACGGGCGAGACAGTGGATGTCAATTGAGCGGCATTCCTAATACTGCGAAAAAGAAAATATAACATGTGGTTACTTTCATCCATTTATTTCATCATGTCATCATGTTATTCAATATTGTGTGGATAGATGAGAGTTTAAAGGTCCGGTTAACTTAACTTAACACGCGCCCGGGTGGCCGGCTAGATACCCTTTGCTCGGGTGGGGGGTCAATTTGACCCTCTGAGATCTCGGGAACTAAGGGGTTAGAGTTTAGAGGAGGAGGTAGGCACTAAGGGGTAAGGGGTTTGAATTAGAGGCACAAAATTGACGGGTGTATTGACCTGTACGTAAACTAAAGTAGTCAAAGTCGAACAGATTCCCTAGGCCCTGACCTTCGGGTCAAACAAGGTCAAACAAGGTAAAATTCCTGGTTGGTCTCCAAAGTGCCCCCAGAACCTAGATAGCTGTTTCTAAGCAAAAGGTCACATGCTCAGTTAAGGTCAGTGACCTTGTTTAACCTTTTGAAGGGCATGGTGACCCAAATCATACAAGACTGCTCTGAGTTTTACATCTGAATAAGCGACAAAGTTTACGCTGGGCAGTATGTTTCTGAAAACAAAATGTTGACCATGGAAGATGTATGATGCGGTTCCTGCTATCAATAAATTCGAAATGAGCATCGCAGACTATCCTATACAGTAAGCCCTAGAGTAATAAAACAGGTTGGTTGTGTTCCTTGTCTGACCTTTATACCTGACCTTAGGGCAGCGTAATTTACTCATTCAATATTTTTGTTGCCTGAGAAAGCATCTCAAAAATGTATGAACATGTAGTCATGGTTTGGGGCACTGATACTTATCTATAAGAAACTGGAAAATATAATATTGCGTCTAGTGTTGTGCAGAAAGCGCGAAAAGTTCGGATTTATACTCACAGGGATTGTAAAGACAGTGATAGCCTGTTAGCAATAGTCTGCTTCCACATCATGCAAATATAGCAATAGTCTGCTTCCACATCATGGTTTCATTCAGAAGCGGCGACGACCCCTGATTTACCCAATCCCGTCGGCTAGTGGATGTTATGATTATCTATATCCAGCCATTCAGATCCCGACATCCCTGCGTAGCATTCAGATCCCGACCCTGGCGTAGCATTCAGATCCCGACATCCCTGGTGTAGCATTCAGATCCCGACATCCCTGCGTAGCATTCAGATCCCGACATCCCTGGTGTAGCATTCAGATCCCGACATCCCTGTAGCATTCAGATCCCGACATCCCTGGCGTAGCATTCAGATCCCGACATCCCTGGCGTAGCATTCAGATCCCGATATCCCGGCGTAGCATTTCAGATCCCGACATCCCTGGCGTAGCATTCAGATCCCGACATCCCTGGTGTAGCATTCAGATCCCGACATCCCTGACGTAGCATTCAGATCCGACATCCCTGACGTAGCATTCAGATCCCGACATCCCTGGTGTAGCATTCAGATCCCGACATCCCTGGCGTAGCATTCAGATCCCGATATCCCTGGAGTAGCATTTAGATCCCGACATCCCTGGCGCAGCATTCAGATCTCGACATCCCTGATGTAGCATTTAGATCCCGACATCCCTGGCGCAGCATTCAGATCCCGACACCCCTGATGTAGCATTCAGATCTCGACATCTCTGGTGTAGCATTCAGATCCACTCAAACTCGTGGCAACATCAAAACATAATTTAACATACAACATAAGATATGACATATAGCAAACAGCCTACGGCTTTCATGTTACATGTGTTGCCGAAAATACTGCAACAAAGTTGACTCTTCGATATCAACCCGCCTTAGCCATTGACCACTGCCATCAAGCTCCAAGGAATATGAAGAACAGAATGAATCACCGTCGGACTTGTTGATATGGTCATTGGATGTTGGAGCTATACAACGGTAACTTACGTAATATACATATATATATATATATATATATATATATATATATATATATATAGCGCTATTAAATGCATCACATTATACTGACATAGCTTGTCTTATTCTTCTAACTCGGTCACTTTCTTTGTTACCATGTGACTCTTTTCTATGCACATCATGTACAAGAAAGTCTTCTTTCATTTCAGCCCCAGATGAAGCATATTCCATTTAAACAGCTGGATGTACGGAGCACAAAAGAAGGGTCGGAAAATTCCATTCCCCACGCCAATATGCGGCTGTTACTTCAAGGCCATTGGCTCACCTTTTGAAATATTCTGAATAAGTAGCACCTAGCATCATTCTTATTCGCCAAAAATAAAAACATAAATCATGAAATATTCCCCGAAGAACGGAAAATATGCTGAAAAACAAGTCAGATTGCCTAGTTTGGTGGACTATTTCTTAGCAGTTAACTGAAAGCTCGCCCAAGGAAACCAAGACGCAACGCAACGCACGATCAGACATCAAACGAGCGAGAAGCTTACTTCTCCGTCCAGCCTCTGTAACCTGCGTTTGTGATCGGAGACCGACGAGAAGAGTGAGAAGGGGCACGCCTCGTGATACTGACTGCACGTGCCCTTCTCCCTGCCAGAAGTCTCCGCCTCCACGTGCTCAGGGAGCATCTCCGTCGTATACAGATCCCCACTGACCCTGCGGATCACGTCAGTTATCGCACAACCATTGCCTGCCTGCCGACGGTCACGGGACATCATCACGAAGCTGCTGCCCGCCTGCCGACGGTCACGGAACATCATCACGAAGCCGCCGCCTGCCTGCCGACGTCACGTGACATCATCACGAAGCCGCCGCCTGCCTGCCGACGGTCACGGGACATCATCACGAAGCCGCTGCCTGCCTGCCGACGGTCACGGGACATCATCACGAAGCCGCGCCGCCTGCCGACGGTCACGGGACATCATCACGAAGCCGCTGCCTGCCTGCCGACGGTCACGTGACATTATCATGAAACCACTGTTCTGATCACTGTTCAGATCTGACGGCCATGCTTGAAACGTGATTCAACAAGCCACGCCCTTTGCACCAAAACTCTTTCGGCGCTCTCAGCTAACAGATGTACAGCAGGCTGCACCTATTTCACAGCCATTGCACTGATTTTACAGTGACGCACAGAGGCTTGTTGCCGAATCCACGATTCCGCGCCGTGGGTCGGTGTTTATGTCCGCTATGTGCGTTGCAAGAACGAAGCTCGATGGGTATTCGCCCAAGACGTTCAGGATGTCCCACACATGACCAAGATGACAGCTATTAACCCCAACCATTAATCCGATTGAATATCAACGAACAGGATCCTGGCATAGAACACAACGCGCTGTCAGCGGATGATGTGGGCTGACGCGACAGCGCGACGTACGAGGTCAGCGATCTCCTCCCCCCCCCCCCTCCCCCCGCCCCCTCACCTGAAGATCATCTGCAAGAACTCTCCGAGGAGGCCGTGATACGGTAGCGGCTGCTGGTTGATCTCGCAGATAGCTCGCAAGAGGCAGGCGCGACCGTTGTGGCCAAGGTTCATCAGGTACTCTTCCACTACTTGGAACAGGGTCACTCTGAGGGGCCGGCACCGTACCAGTCATGCTTCTGTCTGCTTGGAACAGGGTCACTCTGAGGGGCCGGCAAGCGTACCAGTCTATGCTCCTGTCTGCTTAGGAACAGGGTCACTCTGAGGGGCCGGCAACGTACCAGCTATGCTCCTGTCTGCTTGGAACAGGGTCACTCTGAGGGGCCGGCAGCGTATCAGCTATGCTCCTGTCTGCTTAGAACAGGGTCACTCTGAGGGGCCGGCAGCCGTACCAGTCATGCTCCTGTCTGCTTGGAACAGGGTCACTCTGAGGGGCCGGCAACGTACCAGTCATGCTCCTGTCTGCTTGGAACAGGGTACACTCTGAGGGGCCGGCAACGTACCAGTCCTGCTCCTGTCTGCTTGCCAGGGTGAGCATTGAGGCAACTTTGTCCCTGGTGCACGTACTGCCGAGACTGAGGGGCGTCTGGGCGTGCACGCCGGCCTAACCCAATGAACAACACGGCACAGACAGGTATTGTCTTGCTCTACTCTCAATCCACACAACGGGAAAAACATACATCCAAGACTGTTTTCCGGGGCAGTGCTGGCTGGTATGATCCACATTTCTACAATGCAAATCAATACAGTTTCTTGATAGGAAAACTTGTCGCAAGCGCAGACGTGTACACCTTGGCAAAATATCCCGACTCCAAGACGCTATATGTTTATGCCATGACATGCTTATGTTCAATTTAAAATCAATGAGGGCATACAATATTAACGCCAAGCACGAACACTGACCAAACTTTGGCTAGACTTGTTTGATGAACAAGAAGAGTTTTCTTCGTCGCGATATGACATGTTTTGGTTACTGAGCACGCCAGGAAACACGTGCATCTCCTTTCGCACGTACGCATGCGCACGCTTTCGTGTCACAAAAAGATAAACAACCAATCGGGCTGACGGAGCAGCCATTGGCGAGACTCCTCTGCTGCCATATCTGTTCGTCTGACGGGGAGATTTGCACGGCGCGAGGCTAGTATGGGGCCGAGCCCAGCCGTTTACTGGTGTCGTGTGTCATCGTGTGATCGTATTCGTGTTGTGTGTCGTGTAGGGTTTTACGACGCACTCAGCTGCTGAGGCTATATGGCGTCGCCTGCCTCTCACCCCCGGCAGGAAGGGTGGGCACCGCGGGGAATCGAACCCCGTACCTCTGGTTTCCCAGACGTGTAGTGGTTAACGCAGACTCGTTAACCACTACACTACCAGCACCCCGCCGTTTATTCGTCACACGCTAGACAGCGGAGGAGGAAATGTGGATAGATTTTGCTGCTTGCCGTGGGGGACGGACCCCTTCTTTAATGTGGGACCCAGGAGCCGTGTTATGACCTGCACGAGCTCATCGGAGAGCGGCGGTCTGCCCACAGGCACGCCGGCTGCACCTGGCCGTTGGTGGCAAGTCGGATGGCTAGCCGCTCAAAGATACACATGCTGGCAACGCTACGCAAATGAAGCGCAAATATCACCTAGAACTACCTTCTCACAACGAGACAGTTTCGGGCTGCTCTAAATTTCCAAATGGTCCAGGTCTCTTGGTCGTTGAAAGTAAAGTGCGGTTTTTTTTAGTTGCACAGGCCTCGGCGATCCGAACACGCTTTATATCTTTGCTATATACCATTTAAGAATTGAGGAGTGTACACGTGGAGTACAGTGCCTGTCCACTTTCTTGTTATTGTTGCTAGTCGTTTCCGTGGCTTGGCAAGCATGTTCACGATGGTTTAAGATGGGGCCAGAAGTGTAGCATTTAAGAGAAGACATTACCATTGCCCACTTTCTTATGATGGCGTGATAGACCCTGGGCACGATGGTACCCGGATGGGCCATGGCGGCTGGCAACAACTTTGTACTGGCGAATGCGTCACTGGCGACCCCTGGCGGCGCCCTCTCCACCATGTCCGGCTCGGAGACAGGCCACGATCAGCTCGTGAGATGACAGTCAATCGGCGAGTGCCTAAAGAAGCGCATAAAAACAGCCGCTCGCGCAGCCGGCGGGCGTTCAACACCTGAATACCGTGGCCCGCTGGCCTAAATGCGGCTCCTGGCCCCATCACGGCGTGCGGCGATGACTCGGGGATATGTCCACGGCGCGATGGCAGTGGGACGGGCAAAGAGGCACACCGGATCTGGGATCCGCGCTGCATGACGCTGATGTCTCTAGTCGTCGATCCACCTTTGTTCTGTGCGTGAACAGTGCATTCCCCGCCTGGGGTGGGGGAGGTGGGGGGGGGGGGGGGGGGGAAGTTCAGCGTAGCCAGAACTTACGACGGGAGACACCACAACTTGTGATGGGGTGGATATAGTTTCTTACAAGTGAGTGCCAGACCCATCGACAGCACCTAGACTGTGGACAGACAACCAGAGCCCATGAACGCTAATAGGGGCAATGCCTAGCGTACCAATCACGTTCGCTCGGCTATGCGCTGTTATTACCAGATTACGGCTGTTGGGATCCACATGTCGATGTTCATGGTGGTGTCTATGAGATCTAAAACCAAAACCGAAATTGCTTTCCTGACACCCAGATTCCGGAACTATATTCAGCAGTGTTGTGGAGAAAAACTGCGCTCAAAACTGGCGGGGGGGGGGGGGGCTGAAGCCTCATGAGCCCCTCCTCCTTGACTACGCCGCTGACCCGCCCCCAATCCCCAAACCCTGAGGGTTGTCTTGGTTATGTTGGTTAACTTGGCTGTGGGTGCTCGCATGCAAGCGACACTGGCTTTCCAAAAGCCAAAAAGGTCATGACCTGCAATTGCTAGTGTTTTCATGCAACATCATGGGTGCCTTGCCCGCGCATGTGACTTGTGATTGTAATTGAGATGTGTGTCTAGAACAGCTTGCGCGCGTTTGTTCAGCCTTGGTTTTCATTGCATAACATCTGCAATACCACTACTGTTGCAACACGTTGTAAGGCTCTGTGACCTTCTTTGGCCTGGCACAGATATTTCACGTTGTTGCAAATGTAACTAATATGAAAACGTTCGTTATATTGCACTAGACATCGTTGATCTCCTCTTTGTGATGAGGATGGTTACCACAAAACCAAGGAAATTACGTGAGTTGTTTAGTGCATTAGCGAGGAAAATTATTCACATAGATAAGACAGTTGTATTAGCTTTATTCGTCGGAGAAAAACCAGGAGAATGGAGATATAGTTGTGATATTTCGGCAACATGTCTTTATGGAAAGAATAGCAGAAGTCAATTGAAAGTTACGTGCTCCTCTCATTAGATCCTATTATCCTCCTATTACATCCTACTCGATTTTTCCGTTTTTTACAGCAAGCCTCAGTTTTACAAAACACTAACATTCAGGGAATTAAAAAAGAGCAATTGCCAGTCATTACGACGATACAGTGCCTATCTAAGAATTAGAATGCCTTGCAATGCCTTTTTGGCCGCAATGCCTTGCCTTTTTATTTCTTCCAACATTCTACATAAAAGTTGCGGAGAATATCCGTTGTCCAACAGCAAAGCCATGTTTTGTATATGCTTTTTCCTTTCCTTTTCACTACTTGATGAGTTGCTCAGAGCCCTGTGGAACATGTTACGAATTATGTTGCGCTTAGTGGAAGCCGGATGCGAAGACTCGCGGTGCAGAATGATACCAGAGTCGGTGGGCTTGATAGAGAACTCCGTTTCCAACGTTGTGCGGTTGTTCCTTCTTTCCACCGTTACTAGCGTATTCAGATATGAGACCACCTTTCCGCCCCTTGTTTGCTCCATTCTAAAATCTAGATTTGGATGCGGGCCGTTCATGTTGCTTCACAATGCTGCAGCACGGTCGCCCCAGGCCTGGGTCGAACCTCGTTGGCCACTTGCCAGCTGACCTTTTCATGTCAGTCGGGTCAAACAATGCGCTCGTTCTGGGACTCGTACCCTGTGCCGTTGGATTACGTGTCCAGCATCTTTCCCCTAAACCACGGAGGTGGCTAATTATGCTGGAGACACTGTTCTAAAAGCCCGCAGACATCATCTTTTGATAGACAGAAACCATCAATTTCATGGAAATGTTTATCTGCCTTAGCTTTCATGGCAGCGATAGCCACATTGACTGGTATATTGCCATATAAATTGACAACGTCTACACTGAAGAAGATGCTGTCTTACAGTAAGCCTTCTGCTTGTGAATGACTAGACGCCTTTTTTAAAAAGTCTCTGGTGTCCCAAAGATGAGTGGGAAAAAACCTCAAGAGTTGGCTGAGTATTTTCTCTAAAAGAAACGAAGTTTTTTCTGTAGGTTCGCCGCACGTAGATATGACAGGTCATATCTGCATATCTGCATATTTGGAAGGATGCCTGCATGAAAGGGGCCGTCTGTTCCAAAAGTGGGGCCTCCTTAACATAGAGGGTGCCTGTAACCGAGAACAGAGGCCTCCTGGTTTGCAATTAATTGGTCTTACTTTGTAATTCAGGGCCGTTACCCTGAGCCAGCCAACGGACCCCCTGGTCTAGAGCGTTGGTTGCCGTATTCATAAAGGTGACTTCATGATCCAGAAAACGGGTCTCTCGGTGTAGAAAGGGGTCTTCGAAGCCCGATATATTACTGCTTAGATCAGTTATGGGGACCTCCTTGATCTGAAATTTGGTACTCTACGGGTAGCTACAATGCCTTTAGTTTGGAAAAAGAGGCCCCCGATTTTTTTTTTTTGGGGGGGGGCCAAAGCACATTCTTGCCACCTGCCTGCAGGAAGCGAGAGAGGCAACTGCCCCTTTGCCCTCGCCCCCCCCCCCCCACGCTGCGTCGCCCCAGGGTGCAGCAGCCTCGCCGGCATTATGGTACAGCAAAATACAGGCAAAGCCGGAAAGCATTCGATTATTTTTTGCAGTATCTCTTTCTTTACCATTCCTGACAGGAACGCACTCCCAGCATTTGCACAGGGACTGGAATGAAAGAACTTGTGTCTCTCCACAGAAAAACAAAACAGGAGCATTTTCTAAAATAGCCTTTTATCGGCTGATGCATATTTACAAAAGCTCCGGTGTATCCTGCCAGTTTAGTTTCCCGATTATCTTTCGAATAAGTCAGATTGTTATAACTTTGGTTCAGGTATGACCATCGGTTAGGCAGGGACTCAAAGCACTGCTCTTTGCACGTTGATTTTTGTTTAAAGCACACCTGAGTGTCTGTATAACGTCATATGTAAAACACTGATAGCACCCTCATTTTGACTTTTTTAACTTTCTGGAGGTTTGCAACATCATATTGTTCATATACGCTAGAGCTGAACCTCGTGACATCCATACCGTATCACAAACAATCTTTAATTTACCTCATTCATAATTAGCACATTTGTTAGTTAAATCATAAGTTCATACCGCATACTAGAGTGCTGGCTTATTTAGTCACTTAATTTTGGATGCATCATGTAGATGCGTAGGTTTCGGACGGTATCTTATCCAGCGCGCACAGGCTGCGGCAGAAATGTTTCTCACTTCTTTCGTGATAGATTTGTGCAGTTGAGAAGTGGTCTTTGGACGGTTGTTAATCCAGTTACAGGTTCACCCGAAGGAAATTATCCGGTAAACTTTGTCAGGTGAATGAAGTTTCTTGCATTTAAGAGAACCGGCTAACCACCTCTACGAAGTGAGCTTTTGGCAACTGCTATTGCCTTTTTTATTGCCACTGTTTCCATTGACGTTGACACACCTTCCTTGGGACACCACCGTCATTTATCCTCCTCTTCTTTTCAAGAGGAAGTCCGACAACAGCTGATCTCGTGTCAGATGCACACAACAGGTTCACAGTTAGAATGAGACTGTGCCATGAAAAAATAGACTGCCAACAGCACGCCGCTGGACCGATTGTCAGGAAAATTAACGCTTTACGAAACTGGGGTCGTCGAAGGTTGGGAAAATTTGAGCTAAGTGCAACACAAAAATAAAACATGGAGCAGTAACACAGTTTCAGCGCGGCGGACGTGTTTTTCCACGAAAAGCTTGCAGTTCTCAAGATGTCCTTGAAAAAGTGATGAAATCATAGTTAGAGCAGTGGAGTTCTGCTGCCAAAGACCTTAAGCCAGGTTTTGCTCGGGGCTACTAAATATGGTGTCCCGCCCTCTTGTCACCGTGAAGGGCTGGACCGTCAGTTGCTTCTTAGTTAACGGCTGTGTCGTACGTTATACATTGGCCGTCCCTCCATCCAAGAATGACGTCTATATGTCGCGTTTATCCCGGCAAACCCACCCGAGCCCCTCCATAGGACAAGATGCACAGCCGTTACTCCAGCACCATGCTGCATCATGGCGTGATCCTGAATGCGCATGAATACGTGCTACCCATAGCGCAGCGTCCCACTAGCTGACTTATTTTTCTCCTTCCAGCATCTCACATTGGCTGGTTCCGACCACACCTCCGGTCTGCGCGATAGTGAGCAGAGCCGCCCTTGAAGAGTCCTTGAAGGACTGGCATCGCGTGAGCACGAGCGGCGGCATGAGCGCCGGCACCGCGGCGCGTCCCGCTGCCGTGGCCGCCCCCCCCCCCCCCCCCCCCGTCCCGTCACACGTACCTGTCCCCGAGCGGGTGCGGCGTAAAGTCGTCGATGGTCCGCTTCATGCGTTTCCTCTGACCCGACCGCCTCTTCTCCTCCTTTTGTGGGATTGACAGGCCTGGCACTATGCCCCACGGGTTGAACTCGTCCGTGAAGTCTAGGTCGTCAAACGCAACTGTGAACAGTGACATCAGGTGTGTTGGTTTGTCTGACGTCTGCTACTTGCAGTGTTTTTTAAAATTTTTCTCTCCTTTGAACCTTGAAATAGTCCACCCGAAATAGTCTGTGCAACTCCACGGGCGTGCAGCTCAGAGACTGGAAGGGATTAGGTCTTCAGAAGGGCAGTGGTGTGAACTGCACCGAATGATCTTTAAGATGCCCCTTTCAGTTCAAGCCCCCCATACAAATGTGAAACACTCCCTTTAAAGCTTCATTTTCGTGCGTCGTAAATCGTTAGGTCATACCGCGGCCGCTTATACATGTAGGTTTAGTTGAATGCAGTGCGCAATGCCCCCTTTAGCCGAGCATGCTTTGGGCATAGCCGTTTCCGACCTAGTGGTATGATATATATATATATATATATATATATATATATATATATATATATATGGCGGTACCCAAGGCTACAGAAACAATAAGGTAGAACACTCCGGTCTTCGGTCAGGCACCTGCTCCGGTCGGTAGCACCTATGTCACTTGACCTTGAGTGTGGATGTTTTGAGGCTCGTCGGCAAACGTATCGACTGACGCAAGCATCCGCGAGGGCTCCCTCTTTGCATGCCTTTTTGGGCTGGTTTATGACGCTGGCTGACGTTGAATGTAGCCCAGCGACGTCAGGATGCGTTTTTTTTTTCGTCTGAGGCCATGGTGTCGGGTGGTTACTTTCAACAAGCTAGCAAATGAGAAGATTTCATATACCGATTTTTTAAAGTTTTGGTGAGTAGTGTGTGGAAGTTGCTTAAAGGTATGATACAAGAACTTGTTTACGTCAAACGTGATATTTCTCGAAAACATCCTTGCTTGTGGGCATGGTCTTGTTGCGCATGAAAAAAGTGGGTTCGGACAGCTCGTAGGCATTTAAAATGTCAGCCTCCAGAATTGAGGATGGGATGACAAGTGATGAGCTTCTCTTCAGTCCGTAGTAAGTCGGTCAATAGGACTGACTTACTACCAATTGAGTTTATCGCCTAATTATGCACGCCCTTCTTCAAGGAAGGTGAGATCGAAGGCTCAAGAAGCAAGAAGTTTGTTCGAGATATGTGGAGACTCAAACAGTTCATACGTGGAAACACAAACAGTTCATATGTGGAGACATGAAGCAGTTCCCGTTTCATTCGGCGTTAGGAACCCAAGAAATATCAACAAGGTATCGGAAGCATGCTTACAATTGAGTGCAAGATAGGTGTGAACACATTTCCAAATTTGCGGCTTTGAATCTTTCCAGACTGCCCCTTTTCTTTGACGGCATTGATATGCTTTGTCTCCTTTCTGCCATCTCAGCGATAAAAGGCGAAGTGGTTGTTCCTAAGGCAAGTGTCGGCACCCAAAATGTAGTGATGGGCCAAGCAAAAGACTCGGTACAAACTCAATCAGCATTTTTCAATGATCTATGGAAGACGCTGATTGATTACCATCTTCCAGCCCCAGATGATGACCATCAATCGTGGGGACAGATCGCAAGATTACATTAATAACTTGCACGGGGTTTCCACGAAGTAGGGACTTCTACAATTGATTATGAGGGTGGAATAGACCACCGTCTGCGCTATTTTTTAGTTCGTCAGTGAGTGTTGATATGAACGGCGGTCGTGTCCGTCGGTCCTTACTCTGCCGTCCTGTTAAGGTAGACGCTTCCCGCCTAATTCGTTGTAGCAATTTGGTGTGTGCTGGCAGTTAGCTGTACTGTTTGCGTAATGTCGGTTTTCGCAGATTTTGGTTTAAGTTAATGTACTTAGCAGTGCGTTCGACCCTATTAATTTGATGTGACTGGGAATGTGACGGCCGGGTATTCCGCAGGCATGCGCAAAGTTCATTGGCATTTCCTCGTTTGCGAAGTACTATTTAAAAACAGTGACACAGAAGTTTAGAAAGCTGCACAAAACCAGAAACGGCAGATAACAGGCAAGATGGCCTGAGGTATACACTGAATGTCTTTTCCAGCTGGATGGCTATTTTCACTATTTCACCATCAAGTCTTATGTTTAGCTGATCAGCTAATCAGCTTATCATCAAATATCAACAGCATATTTCATATATAATAAATGAAAATAAATAAATCAGCAGGCCGGGTGAGCTGGTAAAGATAACGCTAAGCATTATGTTCCTAAAAAGCAATGTTAACTTGTGTCATTATCGGTCAGTGGTCTGTTCTATATAGTAAGAAGTCAATGGAAGATGTATGGTGCTGTTCCTGTCATTAATAAATTCGGAATCCACCAGAAACTACGCCATTCAGCAAGCTCTCGAGCAAAAAACGAGTTGCTTTTGACCTAAGTCTGACTTTCATACCTCACCCTAGGGTAATGAAATTGATTGATTCAGTTATTGTGTTCGCTGAAACCGTGGCCTGGTTTTTACCTGCCACAGGTCCGCGACTTCGCAAGGTACATTTCAATTTTTGGCATAAAAGATCCGCTATTCAATTTTTTATAGCCATGCAAAATTAAGCGTGGCGGAAGTCTTGTCCACGCTTGCTGCATTACTAATGCACCAAGAGCGGACAACAGTCTGAATTTTACTCAAAAGCGTCGTGGTGAGAAAGAATGCGCCGCATCCTAACGAGAGTAGAGATGCTCAAGCCCCATACACGACCCTGGCTGCGCACATACAGAAAAGCTCATCCCGTGAACATTACACATACATCGCCAACTTGCTCCAGTCCTGTCTAGAAGAACCGTGCATCTGCCACCATCTGTTGCAATCACCGGTAGCGTCATGCTAAAAGCGTCTTGCAGTCGCCGTAAGCGTCGTGCTAGGAAGCTATGAGAGCTCGCTCATTGGTGTGGACTCGTGCATACATGTAAAGTTCTTACCAAAAGCGTGGGATCGTGCTTTGTTATCATGAATCAAATCACATGGTTCGAAAAAGATTTGATACAACGCCTATCGGCGGAACATGGAACTTCGGTGCGCCAACGCGAGCGTTGGCGCACCGAAGCTTGGAATAGCCTTCCGGGCTTTCATTGCGGACATTAAACAGCTCAAAAGTTTGGGCGGTATCATGCCACCAACCAGATGTCTATTAACCTCTACATGACCTAGCTTACCCGAAATATTGATGAATAAATAAAAAATCCCGGAATATATTGAAAAATATTGTACAAAAAAATGAAGGAACAGGACACTGAAGAGTACGTGACTAACAAACAAGCCCTAAAATTCCCCACGCGAAATGAAAACGCCGCCAATGGCTCTCCGCCGGCGAATAGAGACGCCAACGAGCCGATCGAAAGCCGGTGAGACGCCACCTCCAAAGTTCCCACATGTGCGAAATGAACTCGTCCAGGCGATCGTGACGTCAGTGGTTGAGCCGTGTTGCCAATGAGCGAGCTCGCATAGCTCCCTAGTACTCTAAAAATAAGTACGCTGAGGTGAGAAGCATGATTATTATCCCTAATCGCGCCTCCCTGGTTAAGCCATATCCCTAGAAATACCGGTTGAGCAGCGTTAAGCAAAAAGTATTCAGAAGCCGAAACCCGTAAAACTCCAAAATGCTCCGACTGTGTGCAATCACTGCCGCTTAAAGTACATCAAGAGTGATAAATCATCCGAGTTCCCATGTTCTTACACACGATACGCAAATCAGCGCAAACGAGGATTAGTTAATTTGATTTGTTATTTTGGAAGGCTTACCACTGGACGTCAGCCAAGAGCCGAAAAGTCCACCAGGGTACGCTTTACAGGCAAACGAAGTCTCTCCAGGTAATCACATGATCAGATAAGCGCTGAGGTAAAGCAAATGGAGCGAAATGTTGTAAAATTGAACGATAAATAGTAACTTAGTCTGCTGATTAGGACAAATGCATAATCACATATCTTTGTGAACCAGATTTGAAAGTTTCGAAAGCACTGGTGAAAAGTCTTCACCCCCACAGGTAGGACATGAAAACTTCGCTCCAGCTACAATCGAACGGTAATTGCGCTTTCGACGCCACACACTCCGTGCCATTACTCTGTGCTTATTTCACTGGCCCTAACAGCGCAATGAAAACAAGTTACACATTTCAACCGAACAGAAAGTGAGCGATAGGCTGCAAGTGAAAGACCTATCAGACGGGTATATACGTACAAACACTACAACAGACACTTCTGATAAGAAGGACGTTACACGTTAAGCCTGACCTAAGTAAAATTTACAGGGAATGTTCAATATTTGAAGGCATTAAAGCAACTATCAGATATCATGAAATAAGCTCAGTTTGTAATTACCCATACACTTTAAAGCGAAAAGCTTTTAAGCTTTTAAGCACGCCTGATGTAATGATAGCAATCGAATGATTTTATAATGGCGTCATGGATACCTGACCTTGGGGTGACTTTGGAAAGTCACCCGAAACTGTATGCACATCTTCGCAGGCGTGCTGCTCAGAAACCAGAAGGGCTTAGGTCTTAAGAATGTCTAAGTCAAATTTAGTGTTAAGCGGGCTGTAAACTGCACCTAACGATATCTAAAATGGTCATTTGAGTTCAAACACCATACAGATGTAGAACACTCCCTTTAAGGTAAAAAATAATAAAGGTGTGTGATAGATCTCACTTACTTTGAAACGGAGCACTTAGAGTTAATTTTGACTGGTATCCCTTGGCTAGGTCCCTGATGAAAGGGACGTTTAAGGTGGGCGTGAGAAAGAGGATGGTTCCCGGTGGTAATGTGAGCCGTTTCTCGTCGAAGTTGTATGCTAAGAACCGCTTCTGCCTGCTTTGCGTTGCACCACCTGCAACATCATGCAACGTAGTCAGAACACAAGCATTTATTCGCTTTGCAGCTTCACATTGACGCGAAATACATAGCCTCATCGTAGTACGGCGCCAGTCGCACAGAAAGCCAATGTGCTTACATTTTGCATTGCACGATTACTTAGTACGGGGTGTGGGGAACCAGATGATTGCTCGTCACCTTAGGTATGCTTTATATTTCACTTACCGTGATGCATTTAAACAGCGCACTGTGACATCTCCGTGACCCTTTCTCTGGTCTCTGCACCCTTGCGTCAGCATAGCGCAATCACATCTGCCACGAGGCTGTTTGGAGTACCGTCAGCAGAGCGCTGAATATCGTCAGACTAGCCTCCGCCAGCCTGCCGGGGCCGCCGACCGAGCTGTAACTGACCTGTGCTGGTCACATTGAGTCTGGCATGTCGTCCCGCGTCCAGTCTGTCGGGTGTCACACTTGCAGCCGTCACAAAACACGTGCTTGACAACAGAAGTGTCAACAGCACCATCGTCATGTCCTTGAATAGAAGCAAATATCGACGAGTCACACACAAAGTTTGTTAATGGGATTCGGCAGAGGACATGTTGGTGAGCCTGAGGTGCACTCCGCAGAACACATGGTCGGCGCTGGATATGGGCAGTGGTAAGTTTAGGTATAGGAAATGAGACCTCGACATTTTGTCTCTGCGCAGTCACAGTCGTTAGTTGCCAGCTTACATGGGTAATTGAAAGTGCGGCTTCAGAATGGACATGCGCGAGGCGCTGTCATAGCTGGATAGGCGAGCTGCATACAGCGAAAGATGCGTCGTAGGTATGTCGTCCCTTTTGCGCTGTTCAACAGTCAGCGGGTCTGTCAGAGAACAGCCAGATGAAATGTTCACGCCAGGCCGGTACGTACGCAAGAACAGGTCGTCGGAGCTTGTGACACATCGTGACTACTAGTGAGCGTGTGCGAAACACGAACAACTACGCCAGTGACTTCAGTAATCTATCATCAAACCATGGGGCGTGGTTTCGCGAGATAGGTTGGGTGGGTGGTTAAATGGTGAAAGATGGCTAAGCCTAGCCACAGTTTATAATGAAATGGGGCCGAAGTCCCCCGCTAATCAAAAAGTGAACTAGACCTCAGATGGGGCTCGTAATTAACGTCTAGTAGGAGCGGGTTTCTTAAACTATGGATGGAAGCCCTCGTAATCTCCGGAAGGTTTGCGTGGTCGACATAACATTCAGAATGTTAGCCATTCGGTCCAGTATGTGATAATATGCGACATGGAAATATGTGCATTATCTAACCAACTGATGGGGCACAGAGGGCGCGGTGAAGTTACAGTCCCATGGCTTTCGTGGTCTGAAATCGCCATTAACTTTTCTATGTGTTTAAGTTACCTTACTTATGCTATCATTCATGTGTCAAGACATTCCTTGTTAAGCGTTAGTGTCAGTGGCACTGGAGGAGGGGACTGGCTATTTTTGGCAATTTCTTTTCAGCCAACACTCACAGAGTCAATTGCCAGGTCTTCAGAAAGTTGTGAGGGTGGCTCAGCCCGCCCACCCATAACCCTTCCGTCGCCTCTGATCAGTATGTATAACAATAATTATCTTCCTGTTCAGTCATAATACAGATGCATGACAATAGCTTTGCATTGTCCAACCAATTATCATCTTCTGGAAGGAAGGGAATTCAGTGCTGAAATTCTAGAAATCGAAAGCCATCACGCTGATCCGCTTGGGTGCTGTGGACCGGGATGTGCAGAGAATGCCAGCCAGCAATGATAAGGCTGAATGTCCGCTTTTCGAGGCTGGTCGGCTAGTACAGAAGCGCAGCACGCGCCTTCAAGCGAGTTAGGTCGAAAACCGGTTGGTGGCCAAGAACAACATGGGCCCCCTCTAACCTCTAGCCAACCAATGCAGACCGTTAGCACGCAACAGCTTAATGGTAATCCAGCTTAGCGGCCACCGATGTAAACGTCCATGCCTGGGTAACACTTGACTTACCTAGTTACCACTCGTTACCACTCATCATCTGACCAAGCGGCCGTCGTTGAACTTAGTGATAGAGGAAAGTAGTGGAAGAAGTGGTAGTAGTAGTAGTAGTAGTAGTAGTAGTAGTAGTAGTAGTAGTAGTAGTAGTAGTAGTAGTAGTAGTAGTAGTAGTAGTAGTAGTAGTAGTGGAAGTGGTGGTAGTAATAATAGTAGTAGTAATAAAAGTAGAAGCAGCAACAGAGAGCTTAGCGGGCATTGACGCATATTGCGCATTGTGAATGTCTCACGAAAGCCTGCGATACACATTACTTTTCCATGACCACCTTTCTTTTCGTTAGATTCGAGTGAGGAAATGTAGCAACGCGAGTACTGGCTGGGGTTATCGGGTGTAGGTAGTAAGTTTTGGTACCCTCTTTTAAATAACAATTTTGGGACAATCTGATTTTCTGGAATCTTTTGGATGGACAGCTTGCCCTTCCTTGGACTTCAGATTGGAGTTTGGACCATAGTTTACAGAAAACGGCACCTCTGGCTCCTTGACTAGATTTGAAGGCCTCTTCGTGAATGTGGAACATCACGTTCTGTATTAGGAGGCGCCACTGTTGCATCAAGAAACCTTTTGCTGGAGCAGGAGGCCCAGTTTTAGGGTAGTGAGTCCCTCTGCTGGATGATCAGAAAGACCCCGTTCTAGATTTTAAATTGTCAACATTTATTTGCTTGAATATGATGCATGTAACAATTTGATAAGGAGCGCATGCACTTGGTGCCCCTCCCCATTGAAAGTGATACTGCCCAGG